CTTAAACTCTATTAATCAGAATTTTCTTTCAATGATTAGACTTTGTTTTAGATAATTTCTAAAATATATAAAATATACTTTTAAAAGTCCTAGTTGCTATTTCTCTCTCTGCATTGGACATGTCCATGTGGGTGTGCCCTTAGCCTAAAAGTAGGCATCAAAAGCACACGCGTGCGGTCATTAAGTAATTCGGTTTAATGGTCAGCGAGCTGGGCCACTCTTTCGCCTCCAGATCCCGCCTTTCCCCCCACTTTTTCCCACTTTCCACTGACCACTTGTGGGTGGTGGCCTAATGAGCCACACAACGCGAACGGAACAGAACACGCCGAAAGTGCGCTAATGTTTGTTTGTGGCATTAATTTTGTTTACAAGTCGTTTGTGCGAAAGGACCTGACCCGATCCAGACCGGAGCAGACTGTCACTATCCTTTCATTAGCGGGTGAAATTCCCACACACACTCTTCTTTGTTTTTTTGCTTAACTGGGCGCTCTGCTCCTCCTCCCCCACCCATCATTCATATTCAATTTGCGTTCTGTTTTTATTACGCCTTAGCGCAGACTACAAATATTTGAGTTGCACTCATTCTGCCGGGAAAGCGAGGGAGGTGGAGAATGGAAATGGACACTTTCTCGAGGAGAACACTTAATTGATTGCTTTTCAGCTTGAGCTCCATTGCTCCAGAGGGGTTGGCTCTGCGTAATTGATATTTAATTAAAGCGCAGCTCTACTTGAAGTACTTGCCAACTCATGAGTGTCGTCCGGCTAGGGAGGAAGCAAGACAAGAGGGAGGAAGAGTCCTCGCAACCGGAGAGACATTGAGCGTGAGTAATGGCAGCAGCAGTCATCGCAAGGAGGAAAGTGAGCTAGTAAGAAATTCAAGGAGACGTCAGGAAATTGCAAAAAATAGGAAATTAAATCAACTGGCCAGTGGCTGAAATTTCCAGATTTTACTGCGAAGAAGTCATTCAGTTCAAGTAGTTTAAGGCAATCAACTTGTGCTTAAATCTTAATGAAAAGGATTCAATTTCAAATAGGAGAAAGGAGTTCATAAACAAGCAATAAGGGGAATCTTCAAACAATAAAATTGTTCAATCAGAAGTGCAATATTGCTTTACAAATTGATGATAAATGAAGGCAAGATGGTATAAGTTTGAAAGAATTTATTAATAAATATTAAAATGGTATTTTATTAAATTCCTATGAAAACCACCAAACCCATTTTACTTTCAATAAAATTCCCATTCTAATAAAGACTTTATTTAATAAAACTTCCCACCTCCTATCCAAACCAAATATGCGTCAACTAATTCGAAATAATTTCAACAAATCCTTATTTGTCTGAAACAAAATCCACACTTGAGGAAATGCCCGCCACTCGGAAAACAAAACAGAGAAACTATGTCAAAGTGGAAATGGAAGCCAGTTGGGGAAAGAAAATAGAAAATAAAAATAGCAACAGAAACCAAAACACTCCAATTGCAGCAAATCAAGCCGAACGAAGGAACAACTTTGTATGTGTATATGCCACTTGAAACTTTTCCGGCTTTCCCGCAGACAAGGTGAGGTAGTAGGCAGTTAGCCAGTTGGCCAGGTCCTCGAGCTCGTCTGCTTGTTGTTTGCCTTTCGTTGGTGGTGGTAGTGCTGCTGCTGCTGTTTTTTTCCTGGCCATAATTATAAATCAACTAGCTGAGTGCGCCCCACCTGCTACTGCTGCTGCTGCTTACTCCCAACTAACTAATCCACTCAGGCCCAAAGCCAAAGGCAGCATTAAAAGCCTGCCGCCCTCGACATTTCCCATTTTGCCACCGGCGGCGGCGGCGACCCACTTGCAACAAGTTGGGTGGGGCTCTGAGCGGGCATATTGCCATAGTTAGTTGACTCACTTTCACTCGGAAGGGCGTCACAGAGACGAAACTGAAACAGAAAACAGGAGGACACTAAAAGAAAAACAAAAGGGCTTCTTACAAGCCTAGAAATTACTTTAAAAATCTCTTGAAATATTTATTACATTATTTTAGATCGATTTATTTTCAACAACTAAACATCTAAGAAAAAACAATCTTTTTTATTTCCTACTCTGACCCATAACTTTTCTTCCAGTGCTGAAGATAGTGAGTGAAGGAGAGAAGTGGAAATGCGACCCGAGTCAGGGCATTTCCCCTGTGTATGACATCAGCTATAATTTCCATTACGAGAGTCGAGCGCTGAAAATTGTACACCAGGGAGCTTATTAAGCACGCTCCCCCTTTCCATCTTGGTAATGTGCAAATGAAATGAAATAAAAATGTCAAAGCGCGCGGGGTGAACGAAAAAAAATTAAAAAGCAAAAAAAAAAGCTGAGGGGTTACCAGAAACACCAGAGAAATCCAAACAGAAATAAAAAGGAGCCACACGACACCGAAAACTTGGTCAGGATTTCCCATAATTTCACTACTACTACCACTGACTTACTTCTCCTTCTCTCTCACTTGTTGCCAATTTCCTTCCTTCTCGTCCAATTCTGCCCCATAATTCCCATAATACCCTGTGCCCTGAGTAATGTTAGCCTTAGGACAATAACTCGAGTGTGTCATGTGCGGATCGTAAATTTGCCACTGACCCAGCCATTTGCATAAATCAGAGGGTATTGCAGTGACTGTGACTGTGGAGGAATGTAGACTTATAGGGCCATTAAAATCGCATTCAAGAAAGCTTTATAATGAGTTTTTGGTCACACTGGCCGGGCAGTGATTTTTGGGATTTATGGAAAGGGAGAGAAAAGGGGTTTTAATAATGAAATTATTGGGAAATCAGGAAAAAAGTTAAATTTTAGGTCAACATTTTATTAGGAAAGGAGTTGTAAATTACTGAGAAAAGGATATAAGTGTGACCAGACGCCCTGAAACCTTAGTTGGGAATTATAGTGAGATTTCCCAGAGAGGGTGGTGGCAGCTCTTACGTCACTCGGCAACTAAATCAAAGCGTTGCATACTTTTACAGCGTGAAATTACATAATTTTTCCCTCCCCCTTTTACGCCACTCTACCACCGCCCTTCTCCCATTTCACGCACTTTCCCTTTGTTTTTCAATTTCGTTTTAATAATCGTAAAGAGAACTAAGAAGAAAAGAAGTGGGCAACTGGGGATGAGAGGACTTTGGGGAACCATGGCAACCGATGGCTCAGATTTCAACGCTTATTTGGCTTCTGATTATTATTTCATGCTCGTGGCTGGCAGTCGTCCTGAATCCTGGAGTCCTGAGTCCCTGACTGAACCCCGAGTGCTGTTCTCACGCATCACGCGCCCAAAAGCATGCAGGCCATGATATTTGCTTTTTATCGCCTTCGCCACATTTCCACATTTTTCTCCTGCTCCTCCTCCTCCTCGTTTGCTCCGTTCATGTTCCCTTTCCGAAAAGTTTTGCGTGTTATTATTATTTTACTTTGCCATCTTTTTCTGCCACGTTTCGGTTTTATTTGCCCTTTTTGTTCTGCTTTTCCCTGCACCATTCATCAATAATTCACATTGATTTCTTTCTCTCTGGCTCGTGCACTCGCCTTAATGTTAATGGCATCCCCAGTTGGCTTCCATTTGCTTCCCTCTCGTCTTGGCTCGCTTTGTTTACCGCCACCATCGCCCTCCTCCTCCACAGTTCTTTGCAGTGTAAACAATTGACAGGAGACTCTATCGCGGGAGTACTGTCTTTCGAGGATGGGGCGTGGCGCAGAGCCATTGAAGCCATTATGCACATACACATACAGAGATATAGTAGCATTATGGCCCCGCATGTACAGTTATACAGTTACAGGTGTGCGTGGCTCCAAGGGGACTGCGAGAATTTATGCCAAAGAACGACCTGCATTTAAATTTCCGAGGGAATATTCCCAATTCGTTGGAATTCCAAGGGAAAAGCCACTAATTCTCGGGCGCAACATAAAAGTGAATGAAAAGTGTGTGTTAAGGAGAAGGGGTAATACGAAATTTTAAAATTAAAAAAAGGAAGAAAGCTAACTTTAGCAAGTCTAGATTTTATATACCCTTGCAGGGTATACGTTCTATTATAACTAAGCCAAAAAGGCATTAATTTCAATTAAACTCTAACCTACATACAAGTGCGCATTCACTGCCCAATCTGTAAAGCCAATTTTAAAACACTTTATGTAACTTTTAACTTTTTCAAACTGTTTTTTATTGAGTTGGATTTTAACCTTTTTTATATGTTGCTTGCCACACTACATGCAGCAAACAAGGCATAAAACAGGACGATATTGGGAGAAGGGGCTGGGAGCAGCAGAAGAGGCAACAGCAGCAGCAACCGGAAAAACAGTGTAACACAACACTCAGTCATGCGTTTTTCCATACGGCTTGCTTCTTGTTATTCTACTCTCTTTTCTGCATACTCCTCCGCATATATCTCTTTATGTATATCCATCCCCGTGTGTGCGAAAGTATCGCATGCTGATTTGATTGGATTTGATTTAATTTTCCAATTGAAAACACTTTATCATGTTACACGTGTGTGCTCTGGGTGGGTGTGGGCTGCTAGAACAACACTGCATCAGCAGCCCAGGAGCTCACTGGATCTGTTGAGAAATCCTTATGGCAACGGGGCGGATACTTGATATGACGAATAGTCACAGCCAGCTGCGATATGTTGCGCCCTATTAAGCGACGACGGTTTCACGTAAGCCAAAAGAGAAATCCGCCGGCAACAGCAACAACAACAACAGTTATGCCGGATAAAAGGGGGATTTATTGGCAGGAAAAATGATTAAAAAAGAAAAATTCCAGGAAATCACAAGGGAGTTATGTTAAATACATGTGATTGGCTTGTGGCGTTTTATCAGCTACCCTTTATGGAGGAAACGTAAGCCGGGCTTACTGAAGCAGAGTTAAATATATTTAATTAAAAATATTTATATATAATTGAAGCAACTCGAGGTACTCACAGGACTTTATTGATAATAATTAAACCAATAAAGACACAAACTAACCAGCAGTTCCTCTTCTCTCTCCTTGCAGCAACTGTTCCGCTCGCAGAATCCTGGCCTTGCTGCAGTTGCCACAAATGCGGCAGCGGTGGCAGCAGCCGCAGCAGCGGCCACATCCGCAGCAAGTGCAGCGGCAGCTGTTGGCGCTCCCCCCGTTCCTGGTGCACCCAACGGGACCCTGCAACAGTCGCAGCAGCAGCAGCAGCAGCAACAACAACAAATGCAAATGGCAGCAGCCTCGCAGCAGTTCCTGGCCGCACAGCAGCAGGCGCAGCAGAATGCCGCCTACGCAGCCCAACAGGCCACGCCCTACGTCATCAATCCGGGCCAGGAGGCTGCCCCGTACATGGGCATGATTGCCGCTGCCCAGATGCCGCAATACTATGGCGTGGCGCCCTGGGGCATGTATCCGGGCAATCTGATCCCGCAGCAGGGAACGCAGCCGCGACGCCCCCTCACACCCTCGCAGCAGGGTGCCGAGAATCAGCCCTACCAGGTGAGTTGAGATGGCCAGGTGCTGGTCCTGCCCCCCCAAAGTCCCCAAAAACAGGATGTACATAAGGTGTAAATAAGAGAGAGACAAACATGAAAAAGGGCTTTACATTAGCGTTCATAAAAATAAAGCTGCCTAATTAATAAACTTAGCCAGAAAAAGTTGAAAATCATCTATAAACATTTTAAATATTTAACGAAAATTGGTAGAAAAACATGTCCAAAAAAGCACATAATTTGTATTGTATTTATACGCTTGGAAATTACATAAACACTAAATTGATTTTATAAAAGATTCTGTACATTTATAGATTTAAAATTAGCCCAAAGCAGAGATTAATATATTTTATTTAAAAAAAGTAAATAATCAAGGAAAATATATGTTTAATATGTAAATTAAAAAGAACAAAAACAAAAGAATAATAATGTAAATCAGCTTTTCTTGTTCAGTAGCCGAAAACGGAAACTTAGCCCTGCAACATTGTATATTTATGCTCTGTCTCTCTTCTCTTTTCTCTCTCTTTCTCTTTTTTGTACTCACATCATCAACAACACGTTCTCCCATAACCGACCTACAAAACCAAAACAACCAAAATCTAACCCTGTACAAATCGAAATCGCCATCGTGTAAAATATCGTGCCGTGCCGCAGGTGATTCCGGCCTTCCTCGATCACACAGGCTCCTTGCTGATGGGAGGACCCCGCACCGGTACACCCATGCGCCTGGTCAGCCCCGCCCCCGTTCTTGTACCGCCGGGCGCCGCCCGTGCCGGTCCCCCGCCCCCTCAGGGACCGCAGCTATATCAACCACAGCCGCAGACGGCCCAGCAGAATCTCTACTCGCAACAGAACGGTTCCAGTGTCGGAGGTAAGTCCACTAAACATCATCCAAGTGCAGAACAGTGGGGTGAAATGAGTGGCTTTTATAAAATTTATAGAGTTCAGTGATATATTTAAATTCAGTAAATTGATTAAACTTGGGCCACGTGGCGTATGATTGATATTTAAAGGCTCCTTATTTTATAATTCTACCAAAATCGTTTCCAAAACAACAAATGTTCAACAACAGTCAGAAATTTGTCTTTAAATTCTTGAAAAAAACAATTTATATTTAATAGAAAAACATATTTACAATAACTTTAAAAAGTTTCTTTCATTCCTCAATTACATTTCTTAGAATTATAAAAATCTATCGCTCATTTCGCCCAGTGTACTCACCTGTATCACAAATTGTAATTAGTGTAAAGTGTGGCATATCTTCATCAACATCAATTGACCAAACCCGTTCGTTCCTTGTACAGCCTGTATATCTGTATAGCCATTAATCTCTGTTTATCTAACAATTCCCTTTGTATTAGAAGGATCTCAAGCTCGTAAACAGTAATTTTCGAGCCTGCAAAATGTCTTTGAATATGTATCCAAACAACAACAATAATAACAATAATAGTAATAATAGAACAAAGGTTGGGAGGAGCCTTGTCAGCTCCCTCTTCAGACTTCAGTTATAATAATACTATAACAATTTATAAATTCAAATTATCATTTCGATTATTTAGTAATAAATGCTCTGGTTACCCAGTAAGGTATATTAGTTGTAGGAAAAACCTATGGAAGGAGTAGAAAATATATATAAATAGTTTGCTGTAGGTTTTTTGAGGGTTTTTTTTTCATACATTTTTATAATTTAAGAGCATAAAACATTAACACTTGCATTGTATTCCCAAAGCATACATTTTGATAGCTCCCCAAGTATCAATTACAGGGCATACATGCATTTAGCATTAGTTGGTAGCCTAGAATGCGAATGCATTGCACATGATGATGATGATGACGAGGGAAAGCCATGAAAACCCAACTGTTTGTGTCAGTAAATTCAGCTGCTTTCCATACGTATGTATGTACATGCATCTATACATATCTAATGCACAGAAGAGCCATCGAGAAGAAGTAAACTAACAACAATTGCATGCCAGCACGCAAAATGTTATTATTGCCAGCAGAGCAAAGGCGAAGGCAACTGCAAAACTCACGACGACGACGACGTCGACTACTGACTCATGCAATTTTAAATGTAACGCGATGAGTTTGGGGGGGAATTTTCCAGCAGGGAAAATGTTTCACATTGCAAAAGGAGAGAAAACTTTGATAGTTGTGTCTCGGTTTATGCAGGGAAAATTTTATGGAATTTGTTGAGGATATGAATATATAAATTTAAGCAATGTTTTGTCTTGGTATTTTCTACAAGTAAATTTTTAAAGAACAGACAGAAGTTTCTAAATTGTTTTAAAATACAATACATATTTAATATTGTACTAGTAGTTAGCAGTTAAATTCTCCAACTTAAACACTGCATAAACTATTAATTTAGAACATATCCTCCAAATAGTTTGTCTGTCTGTGCCCAAAAATAACAATTTGAAATGGAATAGCTTCTGGGGCCTATCATTGTTTTTGCCAATTCCCTGCCATTGTTGTAAATTTATAGAATTTCAAACTATAATTAATAACAGCAATAACAGCAGCAGTCGTCAGGCAATGAAAGTTTACACTTTTGTGCTAAAACTGTCTGCCACAAAAACAATGTCTACGATTTTGTATCCTTGCACCTATTTTGGGGTCAAGTGAGAATGTAAACGAAATATAAACTTAAATTGCTTAAAGTGCGCTTCACCATCTGAACTTTACAGGCTTCGGAAAAAGCTGGACAGCTCCATTAACTCCATTAACAATCAGGCGAAATCAATTATTACGCTTTCCACCTACCGCTTTTTATTTTCCGACCGCATGCAAAAGCGCTCTTTCCATTAACGAATTTCCCGGGATAAGGCACACAGAGTGAGAAGGAGTTGTTCAGGGAGCGCTCTGGCGTTATTATGTCGTTAATTCATTTTGCCTCATATGGCAGTTTAATGAAGTTTCCAGTTTTTCCGCGGGAACATGACGTATGAGTGATTACGTATTTCAATTCTTTTTTCTGCCTTTTTTGTTGCCTTAAATTGTTTTTCACGTTGCATTTTTTAAAGGCAATGCCGCCGCGCTCGCTTGGCTCTTTAAGAGTCCTCGAGTTAAGTAATTCAGATTTGGTTTCGAACACGAGTGGGGGAAATTCAATTCGAATTCAAATCCAATTCGCTTTTGAGACGCAAGTCAAGCCCTGACATGGAAAACTAGTAAACTGCGATGATGCAGGTGATTAGGCTAAGGGTCTCTCGAGGAGTGTGCCACATGTGCACAGAGAAGCCACGCCTACGCTACCTATTTGGATTAGGTGCACTGAGAGGAATAGTTTTGAATTTAAAGATATATTTTGAATATAAAATAAACTTCAATTTGTTAGATATTCTTTCCTCTGAATTGTGTAAGAACTAATCCTGATTTTATACAGCTCATTTAGGAATTATTTCCCACAATTTTCAACTGCAGTGTAGCAACCATTCCGCTTGCACATTCTCATCTCAATTACAATTAGCACATGGCACCCACAGTTTGTCCTCCGCTGGCACAAATCCCCACTAACAAGTGCAGCATGGCAGATGGCATTCTCGTCCTCGTTCTCATCTCGGTCTCATCCTCATCAGCAGCAGCAGCAGCAGCAACCCACTCATTATGTTGTGCAATCGATGCCTTACAGTGAACACATCCCTCTAACTACTATCCGTCTGGCTGTCTGTTCGTGTGCAATGTCAAAAAGGCTTTTTAATGGAGATTATATTGTTTTAAGTGGCTGGCTGACTGAAGGAGAACAGCAGCGGGAGATCCCCTTTTGTGTCACACAGACAAGCTGCAATTACAAACGTTAATGCGCCTTGGCCTGGCCCCAAAAGGGGGTGGCAAAAAGCATTTCGGTTGTGGGAAAGCTGCTTGACTTTGCAACCGCCAAACCCATTTTGGCCATTGCCTTGAAAACAATGAGGGTAGCAGCAGCAGCAGCAGCACAGCACGAGAGCACAGTAGCAGCAGGAGCAAACATCCTCCCTTTTTCCAGGCTAAATTATTATGTACACCTTTCGCATGTTGGCAACATGTGATTGCATCAGAAACAGGGTACCCTGGGTACCGGTTGCAGGATGCAATCTGGTGGCTGCGGGGAAAGTGAAAGCTCCATCGAAACCACCACTTTACCTACAATACAGCACATTGTTCCTGTTTCTCCTGCTGCTGCTCCTGCTCCTGTCCCTTCTCCTCCTCCTGCTACTGCTCCTGCTTCTGTACCTCTTCCTCCTGCTACTGCTCCTGCTCCTGTACCTCCTCCTCCTGCTCCTCCTTCCCCTCTGCTTTCTCCGTCAGCCTTTTGTGCAAATGAATTCGTTTATTTTGTAAAATGTCAATTGCTGTGCTGGCTTACAGGACAGGATAAGGGTGATATAAGGAAGGGGGCTGAGAGGAGCAGTAACAGATGGAGCAACAGCAGCCAGGGCAGGAACAGGAGTAGGAAGCTGGGCAGGAGGAACAGCCGGAGCCTGACACTTGCTGCGGTGTCGGTAGGTGTTTTGTCGGTGGTCGTGTGTTGTGTGCACTTTACGCTTAATGAAAGTCTCAATGATGTGTACCACACGGCGTATGCGTGACGCAATGCAAATGGGATTGCAGCAGCGCCGCACAACAAAAATAAAAGCAAGGGTTTATATAACAGTGGAAATCTATTAAGACTATTAGTATTTTATCGATTAAATCACTGTTCTTCCTTTAAGGATATTATTTTCAAATTATACTATTTATAAATAATATTTTAATCATTAAAGTCTCAAACAAATGTCCTTTTCTAATTGAAATTAAACTCTCAATATTTATAATTCAAATTAAATTTGATTCCTTTAAGAAACATAAATCAATCTTAGTTTTCTTGCTACATTTATAATCCTTGAACTTGTTTCTTTTTAATAGAAATAAGTAATAATCACTTAACATTTGACATTCAAACAGACAGAAATTAAACATTTATTTACTTTTAATTGTAGCTTCAAAGTAAACCCTAACAATCTGGCAATTAAAAACTAGCAACTAACTCGATTTTAAGTAAATTAAAGCAAACTTTTATCTGTCGGCAACAGTGACTGCAATTTAACTGCCAAAGGCAGGCAGCAGTCAGAAAGCGGGAGGTGGGAGGAACTTGAAAGTTCTGGTGGCAGTAAGCGAAAGGACTAAATGCGAAATCCCGAATGCAATGTTCAGTTTAATGACAGCCAGCGGGAAAGTCGGTAGAAGTTTTAATTCTTGCATTTAAATTGCAACTAATTTGGCGGCTCTCGAGACATAGGATGAAATTTCAAATGCAGACGGGGGAAAAACACAAACAATTTGCATCAATGAAAGTGTTGGAGTTCGTGCAAGTATCCATCCAGTGTGTCTGTTCAGTCTGTTTATTTTATATCCTGGACGGGCTTTCTGTTAGACAGGTGCGTGTAGTAGTTGCGCAATTCTAAAGGGAATTATTCATGCAATTTGTGCGGGACGCTGGCTGCTGGCTGGATTTTTGGGGGGAGGATGATGCTGTAAATAAGGTGGAATATTGCAGCCTCCTTTCCTCGCAGAGAACATGAAACAGGGGAACACGGCCTGACGACACGACCCTCAGTCTCAACTCGAATCGTGAGTGAGAGCTGCTGGCTGGGGAGACCATTTGCCAAATGAAACTGCAACCATATGTGTACACTGAGCAGAAATTTAAACAGAAAAGCAGGGGAAAGAGATTATATTATATAAAGATTTTTAAAAAAGAATAAAGGTTCTAAAGAACTACTAATAAAGTTCTAAAATCGTACAAGATTCTCTAAAATTAAAAGGATTTTTTACTCTATCAAAGAGAAATATGGAAATTAAATATATAAATTTAATTTTGTTTAATAATTTATGCTAAGAATTCAGCTAAAGTTTTTCAAATGCAAAGTTTTTGTTCCCAGTGCCTATGAATCCATGGCTGTAACGTGGCTGAGGGGTGGAGCAGGCGTCTCTGGGTGTGGGTGGCATTAAAAAGACGCCAAGTTTATTGCAGGCGACATTTTGTGGTTTATGCACACGTTCCGCAAATAAGGAGAAAGCGTGGGGATTGGAGAGAAACAGAGAGAGAGAGACGAGTCGAGAGACGAGACGAGACGAGGACGACACTTGGCCGCCCGTGTCCTTAGCTTAATGTAATGATTTTATGAATTATAAATGCACACACGTGCACATTATGCACACGTCTCCCGCTGGCTCTCTATCTCTCTCGCCCACACACACACAATGCGTGGGAAAAAAAAGAAAAAGTGAAAACGCATTAAAACTGCGAGTCATTTAAATGTCGGGAGAAAGGTCGTGAGAGTGGGCAGAGTGGGGAGGCTGCCTGGGTGTCGTGGCAAAACTATTCTCGGCTCGGGCAACTTTGTAAGCGCTGTTAAGTAGGCTATGAAAAAAACGGTTTAAAGAGGCATTATATGAAATGTAATTAGTGCTAAAGCCCAGCTTCAAAGTAACGGAAATGCAGCCGCAGTTAAAGTGTGGCTTTAATTGTTGCTTTATTTAGTATACTTTTTTAATATCAGAGTATCCTTTTAATAATTCCGTTCTTTTTGAAGGAAATTATAATTTTATTAGTGAAGCAGTCATTTCCGACCCTATAAACCATATATATTCTTGATCAGAATCAACAGGCGCGTCTTTCTGGCCCTGTCCGAAAGAAAGTCATATTTTTGCCATTTTTCCAAAATTTGATAAGGGGTTACATCATTAAAATTCTTAAAAATCGACCTAAAATTCGATTTTTTTAAATTTAAAATTTAAGATGCACGTTTGTTAAGATAGAAAAAACTAGCATAGAAATGCTTACCGAATTGATTTTGATGCCTTTTTGGCATAGTTATGATATTTTTGAACTTTGATTTTCCCAAAAATTATCCTTTTTAAAAATTTTAATATTTCCGGTTTTCTTGAAGGGAATTATGATTTTTTGAGTGAAGCAGTCATTTCCGACCCTATAAACCATATATATTCTTGATCAGCATTAACAGGCGAATCGTTCTAGCCATGTTCGGCAAAAACAAATTTTATGTTACTTTTTTCAAAAATTGATAAGGGGTTACATCATTAAAATTCTCAAAAATCTACCTAAAATTCGATTTTTTAAAATTTTAAATTTAAGATGCATGTTTGTTAACCTAGAAAAAACTAGCATAGAACATTTGTCAGAAGTGAATTTGCTGCTTTTTTGGCTTAGTTATTATATTTTTAAGATTTCATTTACTCAAAAATTATTATATGAAAGTTTTCTTTCTTGTTCATCATCATTTAAGCAACAAACTTACCTAATAGTGATTTGTTTTTCCTTTCTGCCGCCTGTCACTATTGATTTCCTCGCGACACCTGCTAACGCCTGTGCTCCACTTTAGGTTTTAGGAACAAACAGTGGCGACATTGTATATTATTTACCAAACAACACCACCACCACACCACTCTGCAACTTTCTACAAATTGCTTAATAACTCGGTCAACAAATTGCGCACACTGTGTGTTGACATTTACGGCCCTCACCTTCTCTTACTCTCCTTCTCCTCTTCCTCTGCCTCCACGGAAAACCCCCGAGTTGGACCGAGTCCTTGCAGCTATCCAGGGCCACCCCCACCTGGAACTCGGCTGCAACCCTTTTGCGCAGCTGTTGTTGCCTTAGTTGTTAAATAACTTAATGCGCCCTGGCCGCATTTATGTGCGCATTTTCCGCCTTTCCCTTAATTTTATAAATTTGTGCAATTAATTTGGAGTTCCCTTTCGGGGGCGAAATGCAACAGAATCTGATGGATTGGGGTTGGGAATGAATTTATTATGGTCGAAGGAGGCCTGCAGCCAGCCAGAGTAGAGACTTTCGCTTTTTTGCCGAGTCGCACATTTCCGGCTCATTGCTTGGGAAAACTAGAATTGCAAAGAGAGAAGAATACGAAGAAGGAGATGCCTGTAAATCCCTCAATGTCTCTCCTCGCTCTTCCTTTTCTCTTGTATCTTTTCTCGCCAACTTTCCCCGCTTTAGAGATGGCAAATCAAATGCCAGTGACAGATTACAACATCAATCAAGTTGGCACCGTCTTCCCGCCCAGCTACATCCACTTATTGCTGCCTCAGCCCGCCCACTTGTATCCTTTTACATATCCTTGCAGCCAGGCTAGTCAGCCTCATGTGTGCGCACCATTAATGCTGTACATTATGGCTTAGGAACTGGGCAAAACTGCCTGGCGGGGGTAGTGAAAGGGGACTAGAATGGATGCAGGATAGGAGAAACGGAGAACCAAGAGATCCCTGCAAATGCCAAATGGCCAAGTGACTAAAACTAAGCCAAGCAGCTGCGCCTTAAAGCCAAGGCAATTAAGTTTTACAGGCGCATCAAAATGGCCTGCTCGTCACCGAGTCGCTTCCCTCGATTAATTACCAAATGAACGCAGTTGGGGAGAGTACTAAATACGATATATATATATCTGGGCCAGCTTCGAATTGATGTTCTGCTGAAGGCTGTAAACTTTAAACTCAATTGAAAGTGCGACCAGCTTTTACGGGCCTTCGATTTTTTCATTTGCAGATTGATTGTCACGGGCTAGGGCTTTAGGATTGAGCAATTAGAAGGAGGATACGAAATAAAGATGTAGTAGAAAGTCTTTGGGTTGTTTTTTCTTTCTTTTTTATTAAATTAATTACATTTCACAACCTGCATATGCTTCTATCATTACCTAAAAAGTAAATTATATACAAACATTATAAATTATAAATATATAACTTATATAAAAATTATAAGCACATTAGGAGTCCTTAAAAATCTATAATTTTATAAACAAGCTTCCATGTACCTAAGATTCCATTACCTAAGATTAACTTCAACCCACTTTTTCCCTCCTTTCCAGGCCTCGCCCTGAACACGAGCTCGCTGTCGGGTCGCCGCGACTCCTTTGACCGCAGCACCTCCGCCTTCAGTCCCTCGGCAATGGACTACACCAGCAGCGGCGTGGCGGCGGCCAGTGCGGTGAATAGCTCAGTGGCCCAGGCAGCAGCAGCTGCTGCAGCCGCAGCCGCCGCAGCAGCACGTGGCAAGTGGCCAGGAGCAATGTCGGGAGCGGCAGGCGGAGCTTATGGTGCCCTCGGTGCGGGAACAGGCAATGCCTCGGCCAGTCCGTTGGGCGCACCACTCACACCGCCACCGTCGGCACAGTCCTGCCTGCTGGGCAGTCGAGCTCCGGGCGCCGAGTCCCGCCAGCGACAGCAGCAGCAACAGCAACAGCAGCAGCAATTAGCCGCCGCCGTGGGATTGCCGGCAACGGCAGCAGCTGCCCAGGCAGCGGTGGCCGCGGCTGCCAACAACATGTTTGGGTCCAACAGCTCGCTCTTCTCGAATCACCTGGCTATACCGGGTACCGCAGCCGTGGCAGCAGCAGCGGCAGCAGCTGCGGCCGCCAATTCCCGACAAGTGGCCGCCACGGCGGCCGCAGCAGCGGCAGCGGTGGCTGCAGCTGGCGGCGGAGTCGGAGGTGCCCCCCAGCCGGGGCGATCGCGGCTACTCGAGGACTTCCGCAACCAGCGGTATCCCAATCTCCAGCTGCGCGATCTCGTCAACCACATTGTGGAGTTCTCGCAAGATCAGCATGGCTCCCGGTTCATCCAGCAGAAGCTGGAGCGGGCCACGGCCGCCGAAAAGCAAATGGTATTCAGCGAGATTCTGGGCGCAGCCTACAGCCTGATGACCGATGTCTTTGGCAACTATGTCATCCAGAAGTTCTTTGAGTTTGGCACTCCCGAGCAGAAGAACACGCTGGGCATGCAGGTCAAGGGTCATGTGCTGCAGCTGGCGCTGCAGATGTACGGCTGTCGGGTGATCCAGAAGGCGCTGGAGAGCATCTCGCCGGAGCAGCAGCAGGAGATTGTGCACGAGCTGGACGGGCATGTCCTAAAGTGCGTCAAGGACCAGAACGGCAATCATGTCGTGCAGAAGTGCATCGAGTGCGTGGACCCAGTGGCCCTGCAGTTCATCATCAATGCCTTCAAGGGTCAGGTTTACTCGCTGAGCACTCATCCATATGGCTGCCGGGTGATCCAAAGGATTCTCGAGCACTGCACTGCCGAGCAAACGACGCCTATTTTGGATGAGCTGCACGAGCATACGGAGCAGTTGATACAGGACCAGTATGGCAACTATGTTATTCAGCATGTGTTGGGTAAGGAGATCTTTGTAATCTTTCTAATTTTCCCAACTAATAAGGAATATCCTTTACCTTTACAGAGCACGGCAAGCAGGAGGATAAGTCCATTCTGATCAACAGCGTGCGTGGCAAGGTCCTGGTTCTTTCCCAGCACAAGTTCGCCTCGAATGTGGTGGAGAAGTGCGTGACCCATGCCACTCGAGGAGAACGCACAGGCCTGATTGACGAGGTCTGCACCTTCAATGACAAGTAAGTAAAGGTAAATTAAAACCCCCAGGGAACCCAACTCATTTTACTTCACCACCAGCGCCTTGCACGTGATGATGAAGGATCAGTATGCCAACTATGTGGTCCAAAAGATGATCGATGTCTCGGAGCCCACGCAACTGAAAAAGCTAATGACCAAGATCCGGCCACACATGGCCGCCTTGCGCAAGTACACCTACGGCAAGCACATCAATGCCAAGTTGGAGAAGTACTACATGAAGATCACCAATCCCATTTCCGTGGGCACCACGGGAGCAGCTGCAGCAGGTGCCACAGGAGCCACCGGAGCAGTGCCCGCCGCCTCCTCGTCATCGGTGTCGACTGCAGCAACTGTCAGCGCGGCAGCAGCAACCACGGCCTGCACCAGCGGCAGCAGCACCACAACCACCAGCACCACCAACAGCCTGGCTTCGCCCACCATCTGCTCGGTGCAGGAGAACGGAACTGGCAGCGCCATGATCGTAGAGCCCTCTTCACCCACCGCCTCCGAGTCCTCATCCTCGGTGGTCTCGGCGGCCGTCAACAGCGGCTTGGGTCCCATAGGACCCCCAACCACGGCCAACGGTGTGCTGTAAGGGGACGGGGAAAGAGTGGTAGTCAAGGGATGCCTTGGGGGCATCCTTCTCGAATGTCAGACTAGGTTTTAGGGGCTAAACAGAGCTGAAAAAGCATACCACAAACCAGAGTACATATAATAATAATTTTAATTTATTGAAACAAGCAGCGAGGGAGGGAGATTTGCTCTCGGAGATTTGTAAAGAGAAACAAGAGAAACACACTCACACGCCAAGCTAAGGAAACAAAAAGAAAAGCTAGCAACTGAAACTAAAAAACAAATTTGTATTTTTACGAACAAAAAGTAATAACAACACACTCACAAAAAAAAAACACACGAAAGAAGATTTCCAAAAATATTTGTACACTGCGCTCGCATGTTTACTTTGTAAAAAACAAAAAGAAATCAAAGATAAAATGTTTAAAAAAGAAGAAAAAACACAAAACGATCGTAAATGTAAAGAAAAAATGTCGAAATGTCAGAGAAACCAATTTGTCTGCGTACATTTTCGTTGTAACTTTGTATAAATTAAAGATTATATAGCAAGTCTATTTGTAAATGATTCAAGTTTCGACTGTAAATTGATAAGGAGGAGACGAAGGAGAAGAAGCGAAGAACGGAGGAGAATGTAGAATCTAAAAGAGCGATGGAGAGCGGGCGCCTAGAGAGTTACACAGAGAGAAACCATTTCAAATATATAACAAAACAAAAAAAAAACGAAGAATAAAACAGCGCGAGCCACACTTAGTGTAGATTGTAGATTAATTCTGTTTATGGAGCCAGCAGCTGCTACCAAAAACAACAACAGAGAAAGTACGAGAAACGGAAACAAAACACACACGAGACACGCCCCCTCACACACACTCTTCATACACTTCAGCCCCCCATTCACGTTGCACTATGTAAAAATTTGTGTATAAACCATGTAAACCATGTAATATTTTCAAAACTGTTCTTTGTAAAATGTATACATATTTTATTTTGTAAATTTCTTTTTTTGTTTTAAGTCGCAAGTAACTCATACAAACACACATATTCTATATTCTGTATACCCCGCACGCATGTAATTTATAATTTTTTTTAAGCATATTACCATTACCTGGCATCCAGGGCCCCAGGATCTTAGTCCTGTGCTCCAGATAGCCGGTAAAGAAAACCATTTGTTAGCCAAGTAAGAACTGATTACCGAAACTATGATTTGGTTATCCGAACTATAAATGATTTTTACCCGAAAAGTGAAACAGAGAGAAAAAAACAACCTCAAATAAAAGCAAAATTCAATAAAACCCAAAAAATGTTTCCAAATTATACAAAATCCTTTTGGATTTAGATATTTCTTGTTTTTTTTTTTTTACTCTGTATGATAAATATTGTATAAATATGATTTATTTCGACTTCGATATACCCCTTGTTATGTTAGACAGAAAGCTTGTTGCTGTGCGAAGCTTGAAATGCCTTCGCTCCCCTCCCCCACTTCCCCTCTTCTCACGTAAGTGTATAAAATTGTTTTAAAATGTCATCGAAAAAAAAACACTTGTAAATTGCAAACAACAACAAAAAATTGTAAAATGTGTATACATATGAAGCGAAATATTGTAAAAAGTAAACAAATACCCCAAGAATTTTGTACATTTTTTGATATACATTTTAGACTACTTCGCGACGCCTTATTCCAAATACTAAAAATATTGAAACGAGTTAGTAGAGATGGTGGTAAGAAAAACGAATTTAGACCTTTTTGTCGGTTTCGTCGAAACACACACACACACACACAGAGAGAAAGATCCATATGTAAAACACACAATTTTTGGGATATCCAAAGTGTAAAGTGTATTTATGCATATTTTTGTACACACAATTTCGTTGTCGTGTTGTTGTCGTCGTCGTTGTCGTTGTCGTGTTTTGTATATAACAAGCAAGCAAAGGATACCCAGTCATTGAACATTTGTAATTTTCTGTACATTTCCCCCATCCAATCATCAGCCATTATGCATTATCCATTATACCCATTATCCCCATTATCCTCCCTCATCGCAATTGTAATTAAAGTGAGCGCATTTCAAGCAAACGGCGCGTAAGCAGGGCTCGGTATTATTTGTTTGGTATTTCCTTTTAATTATTAGTTATTAACTTGTCAACTGCCTGTCTCTAGAGCGCAATGCACTGATAATTTTAATTTAAATAATCCATAGATGAACATTGTATTTAGGATTCTCTGAATGAACAATGCAAGTAGAGATGCTTTCTGTAGACTAAAAAATAAAAACAAAGAAAATGTGTTTACATTTGATGTGTAAAATACACACAGGACACCCAGACTCTCACACAAACAAACACACACACATACACAGTGAGCTGCTTAGCTGTAGAATCCCTATAAATATTTAAAAATATATATAATTATATATACAAACACGCGAATAGAGAATATGTACTACACTTAGTTTTGAACTTGACGTTTTTAAATGAACATGTATATGTAAAACAGTGAAATTTACACGTAAGCTGGCGTCTTCTACACGCGTCCAGTTTTTACCGTAACAATTTTTTGCACGCTTGGTTTAAGGATCAAGTTATATAAAAAAATCAAGATAAATCCCAAAATAAAGTATAACAACCACAATTGTAAACAACAAAATGTAAACTCCACACACACTTGTAAACTTGTAACGTTGGGCGAAGCGAAAAGCTGAACAAAAAACAAAACATTGAGATTTGATTTCCTTCGCCAACTAAATTGTAAAAAAAAAAACAAACAAATTAATGCCCCCTCCGAGAAGGGCCTAAAGTAACCAAAATATTTAAAGTAAATATTATATATACCGCGCAGAAGCAGAAATTTGTAAAATTTTTCTCGACAGCCGAACGGTGATCGATGAATGAACCCTGTAAACTAAGCTAAGGACATAGCTAAAAACCATACACTAAACATAAACCATTTGTAATTTGTTGTAAAAAGAAAAGAGAGGGCTAACCTAACGATGGGAGGAAGGCTGGAAATTTAAAGAGCATGGCAAATGCTAGGGCTGGCGTCAAGTAAAACTATAAATTATATATATTAAAGCATATACATACATATAAATAAAACTATACAGTAAATAATTAATTACGAGAATATTTTGTAGTTACACAAAAACACACACTCAAACACATACACCAGAAAAACCGAAACAGAAAACAAAAAACAGAGCGAAAACCCTTAGTTTTGTAACCGGCAAGCAATTGGCACAAGTTATATAACTAAACATTTGGACAGCATTGCATTCGAGCATTTGATTTAAACTATGCATTAGACTCTTATGTTTATTATTATTATTATTATACAGGATACGATTAATGCTAATTTCTTTGTGAACAAAAATAAAAAACAAGTTTATTATGTAGCAAAAAGCTAAAACGTTTTATTATTTCTCAATTCGACCGATTCCGATTGGCACATGGATATTGGTTGGCTTATTTATTTCCACTTTAACCCCAAAACATAGACCAAAACATCCCAAGTTCAATCTCTTCAACAAGTTTCAACAACAAATTGGCTTCAATAAATGGAAGGCTGCGATGACAACAAATCTGAAATCAAAATTGATATTATACGGCATGCAATTAGCGAGGCATACATAGGCATTACATTGAATATAAAAAAATATAGATAAATAATATACACTTACCATAACCTATAGCCCCCTTCCAGAACCTAAACAACAAATAAAATACAACAAAAGTATAAATGGCACAACAAAAGTGAGCGCAAGTTCGAGGCATTTTATACGGCGCATTTTTTATATACGAACAGGCTAGCTGTCCTATATATAACAATGATATGTATACCCAAATGATCAACTTTTATAATGAGCAGCCAGTAAGTAAATCAGTAAAGAAATATTTTTTTATCAGCCTTGGCAAGCTACACTTTTACCAGGCCCGTAAATTTTAACAAAATTATACATACTTAAAGACAAGGTTAAAACCTGAAACCTAAAACCTAAAACCTAATGCCCGAATGAAAAACCAAATACCAAATCGAGTCAAACAGCTAGATCCATACCATACCATTTTCAACTAGTAGAATTTTTCCAAATTGTAGAAATGTAAACCTTTATATAAATATATATATAAATAGTATATAGATTTGTACTTGGGCTCTCCAAGCTCCGGGTAGTAATATTTCCATTCGACATAACTCGTCACCATAAACTCCTAAGTTGGTCGATCCTCGTAGCACGACGACACTAAAACTGTGCTGCCGCACGCAGTTCATGTAGAAAAACAGCAATAATACCAAACTAAAAGTATACAAAAATAGTTAAACTGTATATAGGGATTTCCACACAGGCAGGCTAGAAACCTCTTCAACTGAAAATCTGTCTGTTTAGGTGAGTGGAAGTGGATGGTTATTTTGTAAAACAAACTTCCGCTTTGAGCCATTATTTGATCTTTGGAATTTCAAGGACTCGATCCTTGCCCCATTCAATCGTCCACTTTGCTTCGAGACAGTGAAGAGAGCCCGCTCTTGACCAATGCTTGAACTCCATTGTATTTTGAACGCCTCTTCTACACCTACACCCCCCAACTATGCCACATGGAAAGAGCAGAGCAGAGCAGGAAAGGATATATAATGAACGAACTTCATTTCAATTATGAATGATATCTAACAGAGAAACGCATAACAACTTATTACCCACATATGTACGTACGAAGGATGATGAACATAACTAATGAACAAAACTTGTAACTAAATACTTCTACATATTGAATAAAAAGAATGATATTAAAAACGGAATTGCCTTTTTGTTTTTTTCTTTTAAGGGTGAGATAAAGGGAAGTTGTGTTTGCTTAAATTACATTTATTATTTAAAAACAAAACATTAATCTTATTTACAATCTTGGTTTTACAATAAATACTCTTCAAGAAGACCGAAAATATTTGAATTCTTTAAATCAACATTTATCTAAAATTTTAAGTGATCATTTTTGGGAAATACAAAGTTTAAAAATATCATAACTAAGCCAAAAAGGCATCAAAATCAATTCTGTAAGCATTTCTATGCTAGTTTTTTCTAGCTTAAGATATCTGCATCTTAAATTTAAAATTTAAAAAAATCGAAATTTAGGTCGATTTTTGAGAATTTTAATGATGTAACCCCTTATCAATTTTTGAAAAAATGACCAAAAAATTATTTCTTGCAGGACATGGCTAGAAAGATTCGCCTGTTAATGCTGATCAAGAATATATATGGTTTATAGGGTCGGAAATGACTTCTTCACTAAAAAAAATCATAATTTCCTTTCAAGAAGTCCCGAAATATGAAATGTTTTTAAATATTCGTTTTTTCGTTTTTTGAATATTCTTTTTTTTTTGTCCCAAAAACTATCCTTTTTTAAATTTAATTGCAGGAAGCTGCCAGGAACTCAAAGCGGATGCCGATGGCGAGACAGAGAGCGTTGGAAAGGAAGATCAGGACGAGGAGGAGCAGAAGCGGACCAGGTACTGGGGCAGCACGACGAGGGTGCTACCAAGACCGAGCCGAAACCACTGGAAACGACCTCCGACATTTCCACATACATATGTACCTCACCTTTTCTTCTTTTATTTCTTTAAAGCTGAAGTAAATAAAAAACCTTGAAAAAAAGTTTATTTTTGACTTATGAGGAGGATGCGGTTTTTTTTTTGGGTGGCATAATTTAAACAGGCTCAATAGAAGGGCATTCTTGCGGTGGACAATGGAAAAAACATCAAATATTGCAAAATTGCTAGATCAGCATCACTGGCAGTTAGTGAGATGCCATTTTGCCTCAATAATGCAAAATAGCTAGATGAGCATCACTGATGCAGATGAGCATCACTGATGCAGCTGAGCATCACTGATGCAGCTGAGCATCACTGATGCAAATGAGCATCACTGTTGGAAGTGAGCATCACTGTTGGAAGTGAGCATCACTGTTGGAAGTGAGCATCACTGTTGGAAGTGAGCATCACTGTTGGAAGTGAGCATCACTGTTGGAAGTGAGCATCACTGTTGGAAGTGAGCATCACTGTTGGAAGTGAGCATCACTGTTGGAAGTGAGCATCACTGTTGGAAGTGAGCATCACTGTTGGAAGTGAGCATCACTGATGCAAATGAGCATCACTGTTGGAAGTGAGCATCACTGTTGGAAGTGAGCATCACTGTTGGAAGTGAGCATCACTGTTGGAAGTGAGCATCACTGATGGAAGTGAGCATCACTGATGGAAGTGAGCATCACTGATGGAAGTGAGCATCACTGATAGAAGTGAGCATCAATGATGGAAGTGAGCAAAACTTTTCATTCCGCTTTCCAAACTGGGGTAACAGGCGAACAGAAACCAGCAGCAAGCAACTGAAAACTGGTATAAACTGTTATAAAAACTTTTGGGCTAAAATAATAATTGGTATAAACTGTTATATTTCATATTATGCATTTATACCTATTTGTTGCCGACAACAGCTTATGGCAACAACAACCTTTTTACAACAACATCCCTACAGCAGCAGCCCATCCAAATTTCCGAACATTTCCATACAAATTGCACGTTTCCCAAATTGGGGTACCAGGCGAACAGAAATCAGCAGCAAGTAGCTGAAAACTGGTATAAACTGTTATAAAAAGTCCAAGTTTCGAACCATTTAAGAGCCGGCGCAAGTAAGCGGAGACTCAAACCTTTTGAATCCAAATTTAGGTGTTATTTTACAACTGCACCTGGGCACACTGAAACTGATCGTCGTTAAATTCAAATTTGACAGTTAAATTCAAATTCAAATTTGGCAGTTAAAATATTTAAAAAAAAAATTGTTTAATTCTAAAAAAATTCTTAAATAAAAATAAAAAATCTAAAAACTGTTAAAAACTTAGAAAAAAATTTTTAAATTCAGAAAAATTTTAAAAATTTAGAACAATTTTTTAAAAATTTAGAAGAATTGTAAAACATCCGAAAAAAATGTTTAAAATTCAGAAAACAAATTTAAAAATTTAGATTTTGCTTTAAAAATAATTGGATTTTTCCCCAAACGATCCCAAATAAATGCCGCCTTCACAAAAAAATTGCATTCTTTGCAAATTAAAATTAAATTATATAAAAATGACAGGTAAGTATTTCAATAAAACTGAGTAAGCAGTTTTGTTAAGCTTAGAAAAACTTACTTAGAACAGCTTTCCGAATTAAATGTCTATACATTTACCAATCGCTTCTATGGCAGCTATATGATACAGTTGGCCGATTTTCATAAAATGTATACCATAATTCTAAAATAATAACAAAAGCTTATATCTCAGAGTATATGAAAACACGTTGAAAATTTTTAATTTTTTGGGAAATTCAAAACTTAAAAATATCATAACTTAGCCAAAAAAGCATCAAAATCAATTCGGTAAGCATTTTTATGCTAGTTTTTTCTAGCTTAAGAAATCTGCATATTAAATTTTAAATTTAAAAAAATCGAATTTTAGGTCGATTTTTGAGAATTTTAATGATGTAACCCCTTATCAATTTTTGAAAAAATGACCAAAAAATTATTTCTTGCAGGACATGGCTAGAAAGATTCGCCTGTTAATGCTGATCAAGAATATATATGGTTTATAGGGTCGCAAATGATTGCTTCACTTAATAAAATCATAATTTCCTTTCAAGAAAACCGTAAATATTAAATATTTTTACATGGAAATTTATATAAAATTATAATAACCTGCAAAGGTATAAAAATCAAAAAGTTTATATCCCTGAGAAAGTAACTATTACTTTAACCATCTTCTGAAATCGTTAACTTTTTCATTCTCTAATCAATCTTTATTACTGCCAGCTGTCTACGTATTTCTTCACCTTGGCCGCCATCACTTGTTTCTCTTCAACGCTGGCAAAGGAATGCTGCACTGCCTCCAAGGTCAGGGCAACACACTGATCCCGAGTCAATCCAAACGTCTCCTTGGCCAGCAGAAACTCCTGCGTTAAAGTGGTATCAAAGACACCACTGTCGTCCGTGCAAATCACCTTTGGGGCATCTGCCTCCATAAGCCGCTTAAGGTGATGCTCCTCCAAACTGGGCACGGTACCCGACTTGATATTACTCGTGAGACAGCATTCGATGGCTGTATTACGGCTCTTAAGCTGTGCTATGTCCTCTGGGGTCAGGAAGGTTCCATGGCCGCAGCGAGACATTCCGAAATTCAGCATTTCCTTGACTTCCACGGGATTCTCGATCTCCGCACAGTGAAGAACCAGCTTTAATCCCTGGTCCCGGGCCAAGGACAGTATCGGAGCAAAGTCCGAGAACCTTCCCTTGCCAGGATTGCCGCTAAGATCAATGCCTAAGATCAAATCCGGATGGGACTGTGCGAACTCCAGGGCAAGGGATACGGTTTCCTCCGCCACGGCCACGGGTTCCGCACGATTTATGGAGGGCAGTAGCTTCACCAGGATATTGGGGTATATTTTCCTTGCTTCCCCGATCGCCTCGAGCACGTGCTGAAGGTACTCTCTGCGAGAATAGTTTCCATTCGCCTTGGGAGTAGTCCTCAGTTCCAAGTACTGCACATTGTCGCGGGCAAAATCCCGAATCGCCAGCTCAGTGGCATATCGCAGACCCTCCGCCGTGGAGGTCAACTCGTGGACAAAGGCAAACTTCTCGAAGCAAGCATCCAAGTCCGAGTCCCTGTCGAATCGGATGAAACGCTGGCACAGCTGGGAAAACTCCTCGGAGGCGGATCCATGCAGCCGCTCGGCCAGATCACGTAGGCTACCGATGCCCAGGGAGCCATTGAGGTGGGCGTGTAACTCAACTTTTGGGAGTTCTTTCAGAAATTGCAGCATTTTTAATAAAAACAATAACAATAATTATCAGCTGGTGTGCCGGCTAGTGCTGATGATTCAGCGTTTTTCCCCCCAGACTTGGCTACTAGCTAGACTACCACCTCAAATGCTATCGGCGATAGCTGTAATAGCTATCGATAACACAAAATATAACAAAGAAGAAGAAGCTGAATTTGTAAATATAGAATTTTCGCTACAAAAATTGGTTTGGAAGATACCCTACCATGTCGGATGCCCACTTGGAAGCGCCGCCATCGGTGCGTCTGACCAACGATGATTTCCGCAAGCTGCTGGCCACGCCCCGAGCACCACCGCCTGGCTCTAGCACGAGCTGCACTTCTGGCGGCGGTTCCTTGGCCACCGCCACGTTCGCCACGCCTTCTACGCCTGCCTCGGCGGGATCGAGTGGCGACAAGAAGAAGGGTCAGAGCAGCAGCGAGCGGAACGACCTGCGGCGGAAGAAGAAGAACTTCTACGCGGCACTGAAGAAGCAGGAGGATGTGAAGCTGCAGGAGCTATCGGAGAAGTACAGGGACAGAGCGCGGGAGCGTAGAGATGGCGCCAATCCGGATTACGTGAACGTCAGCACTCCGGGACACGGCAGTAGCACGAACGCCTACCGAGCCGTGGCTCCAGACATAAAGTCGGGAATAGACGCTGCCGAACGCCGTCGACGAATCATCCAGGAATCAAAGTTCTTGGGCGGTGACATCCAGCACACGCATTTGGTGAAGGGTCTGGATTACGCCCTGCTGCAGAAGGTGCGCTCGGAGCTGCACTCCAAGGAGGCAGAGGAGGAGGAGATAGCCGCCGCCGTGGCCAGGGAGAAGCTGGCGGAGGCAGCGGCTGCAGCCGAACAGCTGGAAGCAGAGCGCCGTGAGTCGGAGGACATCAATGCCATCAATGGAGCCCTGGCCCGCAATATATACAACCTGATCCAGGCACGCCGATCGAAGGAGGTGCCCCGCAACGAACTGTTTGCGCCCGGCCGCATGGCCTACGTCATCGATCTGGATGACGAGCTGGGCGAATCGGACATCCCAACGACACTGAAGCGCTCCAAGTTCGAGGTGCCAGTGGCCCGTGAGGATGTGGCCACGCTGACCACCAATGACATTGTCATCAACAAACTATCCCAGATCCTGAGCTACCTGCGAGCCGGTGGTCGCAACAAGAAGAACAAGAAGCGCGACAAGGACAAGCCGCTGTTCTACGACAAGGAGATGGAGAATTCCCGGGGACCGACCGGCGGTGGTGGAGGCGTTAGTAGCATCACTACCTCATCTAGCAATAAGGGCGGTAAAGCCGTTCCCCTGGGCGACAACATCTACGACGATATTGGTGACTATCAGCCAACAGCCTCGCGAGGAGATCGAAACCGTCAGGAAGCTGGTAAACCCGCAGCCGCCTCCTACTTTGGTGATGGTCCTCCGGAGGCCGCAGAGGAACCAATAGTTACCAGTATACCACCGCCACCGAAAATATCCAAGGCCATGGCCTCGCGATTCGCCAACGAACCAGAGGGCTACGCCGAATGCTATCCGGGACTTGAGGAGATGAACGACGCCATCGACGACTCGGATGACGAGGTTGACTACACCAAGATGGATCTGGGTAACAAGAAGGGACCGATTGGACGCTGGGACTTTGATACGCAAGAGGAGTACTCCGACTACATGAGCACCAAGGAGGCCCTGCCCAAGGCCGCCTTCCAGTACGGCGTCAAGATGCAGGACGGCCGGAAGACGCGCAAGAACAAGACGGAGAAGAACGAGAAGGCCGAGCTGGACAGAGAGTGGCAGAAGATTCAGGTAGGCAAAGTGGCTGAAAGATTCCATAGATCAGGATTGATTCTCCACCTCTTTTTTTTGCAGACCATCATACAGAAGAGAAAGCTACCCAAGGATGGCGGAGGCGGTGGCGGCGGTAACAGCGGTGGAGGCGGCGGCGATGAACCCGATTACAAATCCGCAAAATACTAAGTGTTCTTGAAACATTATACTATATTTTGCAATGATGTAATTCTGTAAAACATTAATATATATTTATGCGCTTACTTGCATAATTCTTACACACTCTCAATTAAATATATATAGATTTTAGCCAAGTTATCACTATTTTTTAACTGCTACCGGGGATCGGAGGATGTGGGGATGGGATGGGTGCGGTATTAGGGCTGCGGCAGTGCGAGTCGGAACTGTAAGGCTTAACGAAAGTGCTGCAACGTTTATAGTTTAAATTGCATCGAGAGTAAGGCCAAATTTGTGGATTTTAAAAGGGGGTTGTCCAGGCTCTTATCGTTCCGAAACGCACCACCGCTCTTGGATGCTGTGCTGCGAGCTGAATCTACTTAAGCTGGTTGTGGCTGGGTAGTGTGCACCTAGTGCGGCTCTCCCTCCATCTCTGCCAGCTTACTTACATATATGACACTGATTAAATGTAACTACTATCGTCGCAGGAATGCTAATCTTAATCACTACGCTAGGTCCGAGTGTGTGTGTTTTGGATTTGGGCGTGTTACCTTGAAACGGAGCAACTACTGCCAAGTACCTTCGGCAAAACCGAAGCTCAGCCCTTTGCACTGCCTCGAAAAGAGAGTGGAGGATTTGGTGAGAAAGAACTGAATGTATAGAATATCCTAGAAATACTAAAAACAAATTGCATTTGAAACCATTATCAATATTATTTGCACTTTTGAAAGAGTCAATTATTGCGAGATTATTTCTTGTAAAAAGAAATATATATAGTCTTCGAAATAAATGAAGCATCTTATTATAAATTTTATGAAAAATTTACTGAAGCCCGATCACTGCTGAAACTATCAATCACCATCAGGAATTTGAAACCAGAATGTTAAGCAGGGTAATTCAATACCATGTGCAGTCCCAGCAATTTACAAAAAAGCGGACAAGCAACAGACTGAAGCGGACATCCCATCCTGGCCGCTAATTAATGATGAAACTATACAAGCTGCTCTCCTTGGCTTTGTAAAGAAAAACAAACAAAAGCAAAGAGATCACCTTATGTAGTTGCCATCATAAGCAAATCCATTCAGCAACAACCTCCAGCAATGCAATGGGCTCGACGACGCTCTTTGGCTTGCAATCGGGCGCGGAATCGAGGGTCTTAGATTCGAGGATTTCATTCTTAAAAAGATTTCTCCCGTTCTCCTAATACGTAAGATTAATGTTAAAAGGGCCTCCCCTTCTTCGCCTGTTGCCAGTTGCTCAGTCATGGTGCCAGCTCCTGGCCATTGTCGTCGAGTTGCGGCGCCTGCGCTCCACCAACTTGATGTCCCTGACGCAGAGATCGTGCTTGGAGTTGCTTGCAAAGCGTATAACCGACTGGGTGCTCACTTGGGGCACATGGCGCAGGTCCAGCCAGATGAGGCCCTCGCACTTGGCCAGGTGCTCCAATGCGTTCTCCGACACCAGCCGGCAGGCGCTAAGATTGAGTTCCGTGAGTCGGGCAATGGCAGTGGTTGAGGTGCCAATTTGTGCCACGCCCGCATCCGTGATCCGCTGGCAGGAGGACAAGTCCAAATGTCGCAAGTGCGGCAAACTCTGCGTAATGTAGCGCACGGCCACATCGGATATATCCGTGCCCGCTAGCTTCAGCACCTTGAGATCCCTTAGCCGGGTCTTCGAGTCACTCAGTCCCGGTCGCGAGTCTTTGGGTGGCGACAGAATGTCCCTTACGGCGGCGTCATTCAATCCCCTCACAAAGCTCAGATCCAACGTCTGTAGCGGCGGACAGAGGCAGGTGTGCAGCGCCAACACCGCCTGGATGGGGCAGTTCTGCAGCGAGAGATTCTTGAGCGCCGGCAGGCGGGCCACCAGCCATGCCAGTTGCCGCTTGGCGATCTGCGTCCAGTCCAGGATCAAATGCTCTGGCTGGCGGCGCACAATGGCGGTCAGGAGGGAAGCGGACATCTTGTGCTCGGAGCAGTTCATATTCTTCCACAAATCGGGATCGACGGCTGCGTTCGACCACACCTTGCACACCGAGCAGCACGTGACGAGCGTGTCCTGTGGCAGGTAGCGGAATATGATCTTCAGCACTGTGGGATCCAGTGCCAGATTCTGGCCAGAGCTGTGATGCTGATTTCCCAGGCCGTTGTTCGAGCCGCTATATCCTCCGTTATTGGTGGCGCGCTCTCCGTTGCCACTGGAGTTGACTCCGCTTTGGTTGCCTCCATTGCTCATTCCATTCGTGCCGGCTGCACCGCCTGAACCGCCGCCATTGCCACTGGCCGAAGCAGAGCCGGATCCTCCTCCCGCTGGTCTAACCACGTACTGTGGCTTTTTGAGCACCCGCGACGATGAGTTCAACATCTGCTGCGCGAGCTGCGAGCGTATCGAGTTCTTCTTGCGCGAGCCGCTTCCTCCACTGCTGCCGCTCCACTGATTGTTGGAGGCATTGGCATTGGCAGCCCCTCCACCTCCTCCTCCTCCATCCACCGAGGAGTTGCACGGGGCATCGTTGCTCTCCTGCATGCTGCTGCTGACGCTTGTGCCGTCGTCGCTCTTGCGCCGCTTTCCTCCTTTCGACTCGCCAACACCTGCCGCATTCGGTGAGATTCCCGGCGATGGAGTGTCACAGCTGTTGTTGCGCTCCGTCTTCACCTCCAGCTGGTGATGGCGTTTCATTCCGTGCTTCCAGTGCGTCATATGGCCGCTGGCAGCTGTTCCCGCCGACTCCATTTCCGACTCGCTGGTGAAGACAAAATCATTGTACTGCCCCACCGGAGGCGGCAGAAGAGGCGTTCCCTCCTGGTGACCCCCATCACCTGCTCCTCCGCCACCGGGACCATGCGAAACGGAAACACGACGCACCTCGGAGGACTTCTGACGTGCCCTGAAGTGACGGGGCTGTGGAAGAGAAAGAAGATTAGTGTGTGGTGTTCAAGAAACCCAATGGTTTCTGGTGCCTACCTTGTAGTCGTAGTTTTTGCCGGAACGACAGCAACTGGGACACTCCCAGCTGTTGGGCAAATCCTCGTTCACAATGCCCTTGGCATCCGCCGCGTCCTCAGTGCCGTCTAGCTGCGACAGAGCACAATCTGGATGCGCAATCTCGTAGCAGACGGAGCACTCCATCAGTGCCGATGGCCCATCGATGGTGGCCAGTTGTTTGGTCTGCGGCGATACTGGCGTCTGTCGCCAACCGTCCAGATGGCAGTAAACACACTGTGCCGTGACCGGCAGCATGGGCGACAGGCATTGGCGCATCATGCACGTCTGCTTGGCCCTTCCCGGGCCACCGAACTTGACCATGTCCATGCAAAAGGGACAGGTGCCGCAATCAGATCGCTGACAGGCGGCACAGTTCTTGCAACGCGTCCGGCGCCTGCGAGGTTGCCCGGTGCCGGTTAGATTGGGCGATAGCTTGGCCCCACCCTCTCCCGGAGACGGGCAGTTGTCCAGGCTGGCTGCCCCGCCACCATCGCTAAAGCTCGAGCAAGTGGCAATTACACTGATGGCTCCGCTCCCAGTGCCTGCTGCAGGAGCCACTCCTCCACCGCTGGTCGGACTATGGCTGCTTCCCACGACTGCAGATCCGCCGCCCAGTCCTCCAATGGATCCACCAGATCCGGCACCAATGCTATTGCTGCTGCTACTGGCGGCAGCTGCCACGGCATTTGCCAAATGCATCTTCTTGGGCGGGCGATACTTTAGCGTATCCGTGGGTAGAACAAAGGTGGCCTCTGCAAGATTAAAAATAAAGTTAATATTTTGCTACCAGGTAAGATTTCACTCCAAAAACCCACCTGGCTGTGAGCCGTTGCCTGTGATACCTGCTGAGGCTGCGCCGTTTTCCAACTGCTGCTCCTTCTTCATCACTCCATTGCTGTACTCGATGCCAGCACCCATACCGCTGACCGAGCCCGCTCCCGTTGACTGCGATGCATCCGATTCGGCCTCCCTTGCCCGGCCAGCCTCCAGCTGCTGCTGCTCGCGTATCACCTCGGCATTCTTGCGCGCGATCTCCTGCTTAATCTCTTGCTTGACCCGGGTGCGATCGTACAGCAGAAAGGGGGGATGCGAGCCGGACGGGGCTTTCAGCACGGAGATGCCCGTGATGGCGAGATCTTGTTGATCCTTGCAGTGCCGCTCCACCAGCGATCGAACATCCTTGATCAAAGCTACGGGATCCAGGACCAAACTGGGCACATTTTTCTTTTGCGGCGGCAAGTCGTACAGATACATCACGATCTCCTTAAGGCCAAAGAGCTCGTGATGCGTAAGGTGGGTGTGGGGACGGGCGGCCATTTCCTCCTCGTTCATCGAAGGCTCGCCGTTCAGGTGCGAGTGTCCCAGCAGCGTGTGAACATAGCGAGCGAGGACATACCACAGCATCTCGGTGAAGAAGGGGTACCGGAACTTCTGCGGCACCTTCGTGCTATCCTCCACACTGGCCGTTTTCAATTGCTTAACAATCCCAAAGGAGTGCAGGAAATTACCGCCAAAGACAAGCGACTGAGTAGGGGTGTATACAGCATGAATCCATCCGGTGGGTATGAAGAAGGTGTTCCCGGCCGTGAGATAAACGCGAGCACACTTCTCCACAGTGTCGCCAAAGAAGACATCCGCCTGTTTGCCGGATAGCACCCACTTCTCGTACAGCTGCAAGTTGCGATCTGTGGGCGGAATCAGCCAGAAGACTTTACTGCCACGCAGAATGTGATACCACACCGAAGTGCCGCCAAAGTCGATGTGGAAGTCCGTGTAGCAGTTCTGCACCGACATCAGGCAATACTTCTGCACCTTGGGGTACATCATGCCGCCCAGCAGGTTGGTGCCCTCCCGCTGGGCGTCCTTAAGCTGCTTGGGCCACACCACATCCACCCAGTCGATCTGGCGCACGATCTCTGGGCTCTGAACGAACCTATCCAGGCGAGTGTGCGAGAACTCCAGCGAGATCACATTGAGCAGCCGATCCTTTTGCGGACTGTCGTAGTACTGCTGCCATTCCTTCATCGTCATCTGCAGATTCTTTTGCGTGTTTACGTCCATCACGTCGAGCAGTCGCCGGGATCCCACACACAGCCGCACATCGTTCACCGTGAACTCGTTCGGATCGGGCATCCGTAGGCCCAGTCCGGCCTTGTCCCGGAACAGCAGAGGTATGTTGAAGCCGTGCTGTTGCAGAAATCTGTTGGAGCAGAGGAGCGAGGAAATAGGTAAAGGTAATAAAGTTAAACGCCATGGCAGCCTTAAGGGGTTATCCGGGTTTGGAAATTTCAAAAAATTCATTTTTTTTCAAACTTTTTTATATAATAGTACAAAGTGTCAGAAATGTTGTCCGAAAATTTCAAGTCGATCGAACCAAAACTGTAGGAATGGGAGAAATGTAAAGCCCTGCGCGTCGTATGAGTCACAACTGGCAATTAAAACTTTAAACACGTTTTTCTCAAAACCACTTTCTTGAAGTCGGTAGTCAAGATTTCTCGAAAACTAATGGACCGATCGACTTAAGATTTTCCACACTTCTTCTAGACATGTTTTTCTTGTCTCTGAACGAAGGATTTTTTATATCTTCAATTAGAACCGATTTTATAACCCAAAATATAACCAAAATTGACGTAAAAAGTGGCGTTTTTCATGAAAAACGCTCCCAAAAATTCAATTTTTAATTTTTTAAAAAATCCTTCGTTCAGAGACAAGCCAGACACATAAGCTAACAGAAAAATTTTGGTTTTTTGATTTCAAATAAAAATTGACGGAGAAATCCTGCCTATCGCAAGGACATAATTTTTTTTAGGGTTAAGTTCAACCCTCCCTCAACGGCTCATTTGTGAATATTTTTTGTTCAAAATTTTACAGAATTTAGTTCAAACCTTATGTATTAATGTAGAATAAATGAAATTTGTAAAATTGTCATAGGATCTTTTAAAAAAATTCTGGAAAACAGGCCTTTTTTTGTGGTTCTAAACCCGGATAACCCCTTAATTAACCAAAATTAGGTACGAAAATCTGTTAGATACTTACGCCACGGTGAGATCGCTGCCCCGCATCTCCCGCACCATTCCCGCCTGTGCGAACTTCGAGGATTCGAGCTTCTCGGCGACGCTGAAGCCTCGCGTTCCCTCGCCATCATCATCACCCAGCGACCATTCATCTAGGTAGAGCTTGCGTTGCTTTCGCTCTCGCTGCAAGAATAGATAAGAAGTGGGGAGAGCATGAGTTGAGCCCGTAAGGAAAACCGAGCCGGGACGGCCGGATATTAAGCGGATGGCGGAAGGAGATATAGCTAAATTTGCAACACTGGGTCGGATACCGAGAGCGGAGAGAGCAGCCGTGAGCGGAGAGTGATAAATGCCTAAAAATACACCGCTTGAGCAGAGGGCGCTGCCTGTGGCTCTGCTTCAGCTGACGTCTCTGCCGGCAGCGCTGTGATTCACTTGTTTCTCTCTTCACCACAGTCATTTTAGTGACTCTCGCGCTCTCGCCTTCACTTTCTCTCATCGCTTATGGAACGCTCTCTTCGTCATTTCGTTTTCATTTGCTCATCATTAGAGATGGTAAAAGTTTTCAAATATATTGCCATGATTTCATTTTTTCAGTAACAAGAAATATCAAGAAATTGCATTCAAAAACATTTCTTTAGTTTCAGTAAACGGACCATAGCTTACTCCTAGTAAAATATTATAAACATTAATGTTAACCGTTCGATTTCAGCTCTTATTTCAAACTTAACGAAACATAGATAGCGTTATTAATTTACTATTAATTCCGATTGATTGACTTTAAGCACCTGGCCAAAAATCGGTTCCATCTGGTGCTACTAGAAGCTCACTATCGCTTAAAACAGAGAGGCAGAGAGAGCGCAGAGATGAAGAGCCAAACAAACTAAGTGAGAGCCACTAAGTGAGAGAGCGAGCAAACAGAAATCTATTTAAGCAACATGCTAAGCTCACTTTTTTTACTTCACCAATTTTCCTTCGCGCCGCTTGTGCGCTTCGCTTTTAATGCAAAACAAAAAATTACGTCAAAATATTATGAATATTTGATATATTGCCCAAAGAAATAAGCGAATAATGCGTAATACTTGGGATTATAGGCTCGATATTTGTGTATTGGCTTTGATATTTTAAAATGTTTCTGACAACTCTAAAGAATTTTGGGGATGAGTTGGGACCGAAAAGCTTTTTGTTTCCTCGTCTGATGGTTTCTAGCAGTTTCCGCGGCTTTTATAGCTTGTCAACAAAATTGTCGTTTTAGAAATTGTCTTAAAGGGTCTAAGAGTGTGTTTTATTTGCGTTAAGAGTTTTTATCCAGGTTATATCATCTTGACAATATCAGCATGACTCAATGTCAAATGGTATACAAATTTACTGCTTTACAGATTTGTTGCAATCAATAAACTATCTTGGCATACAAGCCGTGTTTACTTCGAAAGAGCTTAAGTTTCTTTACTACTTAAAAATGTGACACGAAAATTGTCAAATAGATAGCCCAGTCCATATATTCGTTATCACTAAAACTAGTCATACAGAGTACATATAACGTATAGGCAAGAGGTAATTTCTAATGAGTCCGGGAAAAAAAACAAAATAAACATATGATTTCTAATCTGTGTTAATAGAAAATCTAAATATGTATGCACAGCTATTAAAATATTCTAAAAATACATCTACCAAGATTAAGTTTATTTAATTGCAAAAAGCTGCAACCAAATTAAAATATTTAAACAAATTTTTTTAGAAGCTCGCATAAATAAAATGTAGGCCCATTTTTGCTTAAAGCTGACAACACTGTCCGCCCGGCAAAGGGCAACGGGAATCAAGTTGTCCACCACGGGCGGCTCCCTCTTTATCCCCACCACTGCTCCATCGCCGTCTCCGTCTCCCTTCAGTGCGCATGCACTTTGCATATGAAGGACCGTTTTGATTTCGCTATTTTTTTGTTTCTGACTTTGCATTGGTGGTGGTGCATTGCGCCGGCAGAGAAGCGAAGCTGAGAGCTTGAGATGGCAAACTGAGAGATTGCGAGATTGAGAGAGACTGTTGCTCCAAGGAGGCGGCGGGTTGAGAGACAACAAATACGGTGCATTATTATGTCTCCTGCTTTGAGTTTATTTTGGACGCTGCCTGCCAGCGGTGGCGCGAATTTGGGGGGGTCGGAGATGGTGGCCGGCGGCGGTGCAACGAAAAATCTATAAACATGGATGCGCGGCCTGCCCTCGTTTGTGCTTGTGTTGGTGGCTTGCTTGTATCCCCCATATCCGTATCTGTATCTGTATCTGCATCTGTGCAAGTGTGTGTGCTGCTATATCCTTTTTAAGCGGCTTGCCCCACAGAAATGTTGAAACTTGTTTGGCGTGTTCTAAACCGATTTTTTTTTACCGACTTTTCATTGTGGCCACGCTGCCTGGTGCTTTTGTTGGTGTTGTTGTTGGCTCGAAAGCTTGTTTTGGTGTCTCGTCGATTAACAATCGGCAGGTAGAAGTAGATGATGATGGAGCAGAGAGAGGAAGCAACAACAAGCCTAAACCGCATACAGTTGTGCCTTGCTATGTGGAATGTTTCTTTAATAAATCTAAACTATTTCCCTTACAAATTCATACCTAATAATAAAAGGCCTAAATCTACATTTAAAAATTCCTGTAATTTTTTAATTCCCAGCAATAAACACTTTACTAAACTTTATAAATCCATCCTTTGGGGGTTCGACTGTAAAAAGTTGCGTGTAAGAAAAAACGAAAATCCAAATCCAGTCAAGTGGTTTCATATTGTTGTTGTTAGTTTGCGGTGGTGGCGTCACCTTCACCCCACCACCCCTTCAACCCCACACTCCATCAGTTGGCCACCTGGGCCACCTAATGTATTCTATTTAAGGTGCTAATTGCAAAAACCCTTATCTACCATGTGCTCAGTGCTACCGCCTCGCTCCTTCCCGCGGCTTCAACAGTAATCTTTGAGCTGTGTTGGGTTAGTCATCGTAATGAGAGTTCTCCATTCCACTATTCCATACATTTTTAATGGGACCCCCGCTCTTTGGCGCTCTTCTTTCCGCTTCTCAGTCAATATGCATAAATAAACAGAAAGATATGTTTGTGAGACGGGCTCTTAGATACCCTGCACTGTGATTTATTTACTGCTTCAAAGCGTCACAATATCTCAAGGGTTTCAAATGACTCGGATTGTGTATTAAAAGCCAATTGATAACGAATAATACAATTACAAAAACAATACAGATACAATTATGTCAAGTATTTGCCTGTCATAACTATAAATTATTTCATACAAAATAATACTCCGCTAATCAAACTGTCTTTGTGCTGAGATATATAATAAATTATCCTACGTCTTTTAATTAACAGCAATATTGAACGCTAATGAAGAAGATAGATTCTCTTAGATACGTTCTTAAAAATACCCTAACCATACAGGGTAGACAGGAAAACAGGACTTTCACGACAAGTGCAGGGCGGGAATTCATCGTCATTACCATCCACCAATTATCATTAAGCGAACGCAGCGGCAACGGAACGGAAAGCGACGAGCGCCAACAGCTGCTGATCCAATTTTCGGTGCTAATCAAATGCGCAGCCAACAGAAATGTGAACGTGAACTTTGCGAGTTGGCCAAAGATATGAGAAATCAGTGGGGCAGCAGCGACCGACCGACAGACCCCCCTCCGCCCACGCCCACGACGAGTATCACTGTACTAGAGCAGTGTCAACGTCAGCATTCTCTCGCTCTTCGGCTCTTCGTATGTAAATATATGTTGGGCAACAACAACGGCAACACAATCTGTTATCTACGACGATACGGAATAGAAACCGAAGCAGAAACCCACCTCGGCAGCACAGGCACACACACCAATGGCAAATTGAAAACGAAATGCCGAGGCAGCGGGCAACAACAATGGCAATAACAACGGCTGCGAGAAGAAGAGAATAACAAACAGCGAAGCGAATATGGCAAATAAAACTCATTGCTTTCGGTCATGCGGCCTCAGTTGGGCTCCAATGCGGCCTCAGTTGAGCTCCAATGCCCAACTGGCGCAAAGTGGGAGGCGGAAGAGCCAGGGGACAGGGCGAGGGCGGCGGCGGGGCAGGCGAGTGAGCATGCATTTATTATTTCCACCGATTAACGATGAGTTTTACGTTCGCTTCCACAAGCACTTACTATTATCTTGCCGCGTCGCTCTTCCTACCTACCGATCATCGACAACAAATAGGGCTCGGCCAACTTATCAATCATGGTGACAGGTGAACCCCTGCAGACACCGGTTTATCGGTCACGGGAAACGAATTCGGAACTATTTAAATTTAAACTATTTGGTCCGTCAAGTATATCAATTAATCCTTAAGATCGCAGAAAAACTGTCTTGTTTCAATCGAATATTAATATTTTTAATGGACATTTTTGGGCATAAAAAAAATGACGAAATTTCGAGATACAGTTTCGCCAAGTAAACCTTAGGCAAGCTCCACTGTAGCTGCAGAGGTGGCTTTATCGGTTATTGATAGTATAGAGGCGAGGGAGGGGGTAATGGATAATTGGCAGAATGAGAAAAGGGAGTAAGAGCAGGGTTAATCAGTACTCACCAGTTGACGCCGTTGCACGCCTTTTGCATTTGGACTGGGATTGCCGTTGCCGCTGCTGTTGCTGCCGCTATTATTGTTGTTGTTGTTGCTCTTGGCAGGCGACGACCCCGATTCAACGGCGGTGGACATCGCTGCCTCTGAATGTTTGTGTGCGATTCTCTTCTTTTTTCGGTTCGGTTCCACTCGACGGAATCGCTCTATCCGCCAGGTTCAGAACTGCAAAATCACAAAATCACGCGTTTAGTGTCGTTTTCCATGCAGAATTCATTGCAGTTCGCGGCAGAGCAGAAACAGAAACAAACTAATTACGCTTATTACTTCACACAAATTGAACGGCCAGCGCACAAACACACGCACAACACGCGACGCACACACTCCCACGACGCGACGGCTGTTGGACGACGAATGAGCAGGCAGACGGAGAGGCCGAGAGATAGCCACCTCGCTTGGCCGGCAAACTCACCACGCGGCAAGTTCAGAGGCTCGCGGACGCAAAGGGGGCCCACGTGTACTGGGCCGCTGCCCAGGGCTACGCCACTGCCTGCGAGCGAGAACGAGAAGGAGAGCCAGGCGAGGTGGATACTCAGCTGCTGCTCTCTTTCTTTCAACGTGATGTTTTGCCATTCAACATTCAACATCCAAAAAAAAAAAAAAAAACAACAAAATATAGGAAAGAAAAACGCCGAGGATGAACAACGCTCACTTATCACGCTCCACGTATATTTCGCCACTTTCCCATGAACTTGTAATAGGAATTCTAAATTTGCACTTTGCCGATTCCCCTCGAGTATCTAGTTTTTGTCAGATTTTCGCTTGTGGTGGTAATTCTGCTCCGCCTCGCTTTTGTTCTCTGAATTACAAATTTGTTCGCCTTGCGCCATGTAGTAATTTTAATTATAATTATGCGTATGCACACTCGGCCGGACACACACTCACACTCGTTAGAATTACGAAATTAACATTTAATTTCGGGGGCTTCCGCCGACCAAAAATCACTCTTAGACGACGCGATTTTTCTCCGTACGCGAGCGAGCTGTAAAATCCGGCAAAATCCGCAGCGTCGCTGATATTTCTTATTTATTTTTTTTTAATTACCAATTTTTTCTGAGCTCTGCGCTTGTATTTATAGGGAAGGCAGTGATGTCATTTCCGCCTTTTTCCCGTCAAATTCAGCTTATTTTTAAGTCTGGTCACACTGTTAAGTCACTGTTTATGTGAATAATAAATAAAGAACAATTTAAAAAATTTAAATTTAATAAAAAAAAATTAATTTATGCAAAACACACTCCAGCCTTTCCGATTGGATGACATACATCTATCTATTTTTAATGTTAATACAAAATAAGGTGAAGAGCATTGAGTATTCCATTGCATGCTATCATCAACTGGCTCTTACGGATATAATATAAGGACATACAAATCTACGTGGATTACGCGCTAATTGGTTTTACGTTTGTTATGGCTATTGCTGCTACAGGTCCTCATCCATGTGCTCATCAGACTTGTTTAGGTTCACGCTGCACGTGTTGTTGTTCTCAAAGAACTCCAGATCGTCGTCGTAGTCGTCGAGCTCCTGCTGGTTGGGATTCGCCATCGGAACCGCCGCTGGTAGCGGTTGATTCTGTGGCACCGCCGAAATCTTGGCCATTTCCGGCAGGGGCAACTGCAGTGGCGACGGCTGCCAGGGCACCAAGGCGGTGCAGGGTCGTGGGATGGTCTTGAGCAGCCATTCCGGTGGGATGACGGGCGGTCCCGTGGCTCCGGGCCCAGTTCCCGGCTTCAGGCCATCACAGATCACAATGCGATTGGCGTTGCGCAGCTTCTGCTCCAATTCCATGGCCGCCATTTGGTAGGCGGGATTCGGGTGATGTGTTTTTCCAGTGCTCGTGGACGGAATATCATCCGTGGCCAGTCCACCCGTAACGGCGGCTACGCTGTTGTTATTGCTGTTGCCCACCACCGAAGCCGTCGCACTGTTCTTTGGATCCCCGGAAATCTGTAGGCCACTGAAATGCTGGGTGATCCGCTCCTCGGTAATCAGCATTTTGGGAGGGCTAAAATATGTGGCAAGATTAGTTGGTAGGATCAATAAAATCAAGGAGTATATAGCCTTACAGCACGGTTGCTTGTTGTTCCGACTTCCTCTTGTGCTGCCACTTGCCGCACTCGCTCTCCGCCAGACTCGGGTTCCCGAAGCCATTCGCATTGAAGTTGAAGCCAAACTCCATGACGCCGCCTGGCTGTGGTGCATTGAAGGGAAAGGATTTCCGCTTGGTCTGAGGCTTCATATGAGGATACAAAATATGTGTAAAAATGGATAAAATTCCTCTATTTGCGACTTGTTTTCTTTCTGCTTAGTGTGGCCAGTCGGAGCCAGCCAAAAGCTGCCTATCATTTTCAGTATTTTTGTCGAATGAAATCGTACCAGAATATATACGGAAAACTTGGTTGTAATCATTGCATTAAATAATTTGATGTAATTAATGTGAGTTAACAATTTTAATTTTATAAATATGTAATTTACAAACAGCTAAACAGTGCTGTAAAAGTCCTTTTTGAAAAGTCTAGAAACGCACTAAAAAAGGCCAAAGTAAAATGCATAAAAAGCGCAGCAGCCCGCTGCTTTCAAATATTCAAACGCAACAAGTGACCGAGCAAAGTGCTTTAATAAAATCTTAAAATTATAAAATCAAATAAATTAACATTTATCATACAGTGCAGTGAAATCAGTTTAAAATTTTAATAAAATAAAAGTTCAAAAACAATTTAAAGAAAGCTGAAAAGTATAATTCTATCAAAATGCGATTTACTAGGTGAGTTTGTTTTTATTTTATATATTTTTAAAACAGTTTGAATAAAAACAGCTGCAAACCAAAAAATATTTTGATTTCTTAACAGATTTTTAATAATTTTAAAAGCATTTAGGCGATAAATTTAAAAGTTTTAAATATGTGAATTGAAATATTAAGCTTAAGTTTCCCTCAACAAATTAAAATTAACTCAGCAATATAAAGGTATAAAATGTGAAGAACGACAGTCCTTAAGAAGGATTTTATTGTATTCTCATGTAAAATTCCATTAAAAAAAAAAAAAAATCAAACACCGATTGAGGTTGAATCAACGCAGCCACTCGCACTTTCCTCGGCTTATCTGGGGGTAGCGCAGCTCTTTTCGAAAATAACATGTTTTTCAACCCAAAACATCATCGCGCAATCTTCGCCTGTGAACAACATTTTTAATGACGCCTGCATTGTTTTTCCTCCGGCTAAAAAAAAACAGAGATCGCCAGTTTCCAGGCGATCGTAGTGCATCGGCACTATAGCCTATGTATGTATGAGGTAATGGGCAAGCTGAGGTTATCCCGGGCCAGCATTAAAGGCTTATCAGTGGGAGACAGGGCCCCCTGGGGAGCAAATTAACGTCACTGTCGGGAAATCTCATGCCATCTTTTAATCTCAATCTCCAAGCGCTGCAGCAATCGGAAATCAGAAATCAGGCTTTCCGATTTCGTCATCCGCCGTGTCGTAGAAAAACAATCTGCTGGAAAATAACTTGATGAAAAACGTGTCAGATTTCATTGAACAACAACAATATTATTCATAATTAACTATTTTGAGAAGGCGTGCGGCAACTACCGAAACCCTTCAGTTTATTGCGGATATTAGTCGAATTTCGAATTTGGGCTACTAGCTTATATTTTCAGAAATTGTCTATAAATATTTGTTCGAAATCCTAAATTTCATATTTTAATTTTTAATTAAACGAAAAATGGACAGATAATTTCTAATAAAGTAAATAATAAGAAACGATCATAAGCAGCTAGTGGGCGGTACTTTTAACGGTACCTGTGCCAGAGCTTTCGCTGCAACTTTTAAGTCGCGCTCTCTCGCTCGCGCACAGAATAGCTCGCTTGAGCGAAAGCTTTTTATCCAAAAATAATGAAAAACGACATATCCGTGGGCTCGCCAACACGTGCGATAGAGTTCGTTATCGAGATCGGTTCTATATATATACTGCGACAGTCCACTTGAATCCAGCAATCAGTGTAGTTTGTTGCCTTTTCCAGCTGAGGAAAATTCCCGAAAATCTCAAACAAAAAGGTACAGAGCAAGTGCAGAATAAACAAGACAAGTGAGGAAAAATCTAAAATTTTCCACTGCAAATTTTGACCTCTAAACTTTGAATTAACTTTTCAAGTTTTAAGTTCTAAGCTTCTAATTAATAATTCAAAAACGTGTCAAGTTGAATATAAAACCTATTTTTATGGCCGGCTATTTTTAAATCAAGTCCCAGACAGCAGCCTGAAAAGTCGGGACCTCCGATTTGTTTATGTTTTTCCTGCTAATTTATTATCAAAATAAACAAAAATGATTGGCGGCTGATAACGTAAAAACGCTGACGCACACACATACAGCGAAAGAGAACACACATGGCAACAGGAGAAGAGAGACCAACGCGAAGGGGTCAAGTTCTGGGTTTAGTTTTTCCGATTTTTGCTGATTCAGGTGTATAAAAAGCGAAATAAAACCTTGATTATATGCAATATATTCCACCTAGCAACAGGTTGTTTGGGTATATGTCTGTGTGCCCAGAGGCAGGGAAAATTTAATCACTTGTAGTTGTAGTAGTGCCTGCTCCGTTTGCGCCATTTCGTTCGCCACACAGTAATTTTTCCAGATGCAAAAATTTTCGTAGTTTACAAAAATTTTTAAAAATGTGGCGGCGCTCTATTGGATCCCTAATGGTTTCGATTTCACGGACATACGCCGCTAAGGAAAGGTGCGTACAATTAGTGGCTAGTGAAACCGATCGGAATTGAAATGTGATACAAAATGCTAAAGCAAACGACAAGAAAAGGAAAAACAACAGTGATGCTCTCGTGACGTGCTTAGTTGGCTGTGCAAAAACATCGGCCTGCTTCATTTTAAAGTTACACTAATTATTAAAATAATTTGAGTCCCCTAAAATTAGTAATTTAATTTTTTTATACTGTACAATTTATATGAAAAATTTTAATTTTAAAATATTTTTTAACGTGCGTGAGACAAGCTTAAAATCGCTCACGCTGGCATCTCGTCTATTCTCGAAACAGCTGTCCGGGGAGTTGCCATATATTGGTAATTTAAGACCAGTGGCAACTCTTTTTCCTCCAGCTAGCACATGGCCGGTTGTGCTTGTGTGCGTACTGTGTTGAATTTAATATTTAAATAAATTAAGAGCGTCGTACTAGCCGTGAAAAGCTACACCTTAAGCTGAAAAAGCTCCTGTTGCGCGGACAGCTTAAACCTGTTATCAGCTCAGCGATTGTGGGGAGCGTTGCGAGTTGTTATGGGAGCAGGGCCGTTTCGGACTTGCTCATTTTCGTTCCAGCAGTGAAGCACTCAAGTCCGAAACGCTGCGTCTCCGATTTGCGTGCTTTATAAAAAAAAATATATAGTATATATATACGTATATATATATACATCAGAACCCGAACACTATGTGTGATTTTGCTGTGTAAACAACACTCGCGAATCGCGAAAGCTAACCCGAATCCAGAGTTCCACGAACAACGCCGAACAGTATATAGGCGAAGAAATAAAAAATCACACGGCTGAAAAACCCGTGAGTCATCGCGACGTGGCCGCCAGATAATTTCCCAGTGCCGTCGAGACAACGGGGAAGTACCCAAAACGTTCACTCGTCGAGACCGCGCCGCTCGTTTCGATCATTAGCGCTGCGCTCTCCGGACGCGGCGGTCGAGTTTCTACGACGCAATTTGAAGTAATAAAGAAAAGGGCAGAAAGATGAACCAGTACTACGACCTGGACAAGGGCAAGAATGTGCTGTTCCTGAACGATGCCAGCAGCACCAGTGGCTACAGCAGCAACTCGCCCACTTCCACCACCCAGTCTTTGTCGCCCGCTCACTCCCCCGAAACTATGGCGCTTCAATCGGATTTCGCCAATCTCAACTTGCCAGCAGCGGGACACAACTCACCTCAGCAGCCGCAAAACTCACCATATCATCAGCTGTTGAATGGCGGAGGCGGCCTCTGCTTGGATGCAAACTCTTTGATAAATCCTGCTGGCATCGGTACCGCCACGAGTTTTGGCAACATGTACGATCATCAATACTACGTCCCCGTCGGAGGAGCACCCGCGGCACAGCAGCAATTTGGCTATCAGCCGAATGGACTTCCAGCCGGCAGCAGCGACTCTAAACACGTGCCGCAGCTGCGAATTGTGGAGCAACCTGTGGAGAAGTTCCGGTTTCGGTACAAGAGCGAGATGCACGGCACTCATGGCTCCCTCAATGGCGCCAACTCGAAGAGAACGCCGAAAACCTTCCCCGAAGTCACACTCTGCAACTACGACGGCCCAGCTGTCATCAGGTGCAGCTTGTTCCAAACAAACCTGGACAGTCCGCACTCGCATCAGTTGGTTGTGCGCAAGGACGAAAGGGATGTGTGCGATCCGCACGATCTGCACGTGTCCAAGGATCGCGGATATGTGGCGCAGTTCATCAACATGGGCATCATACACACCGCCAAGAAGTATATATTCGACGAGCTTTTCAAAAAGAAGCAGGATCGCCTCGTTTTCCAGATGAACCGCCGGGAGCTGTCCACCAGACAGCTGCAGGAGCTGCATCAGGAGACGGAGCGGGAGACCAAGGACATGAATTTGAACCAGGTAGGTGTTGCATTTTCCACTAAAAAGTGATCCAATATTAGTGAGCTACTTTTCTTAGAGTCAAATCAACTAACCTGCACTTCTTGCTTTTTTTTTAGGTTCGCCTGTGTTTCGAAGCCTTTAAGGTCGAAGAAAACGGCTCGTGGGTGCCACTGGCTCCTCCAGCATTCAGCAATCCGATCAATAACCGCAAGTCCGCACAAACCGGTGAGCTGCGCATCGTCCGGCTTAGCAAGCCCACCGGCGGCGTCATGGGCAACGACGAGCTGATCCTGCTGGTGGAGAAGGTTAGCAAGAAGAACATTAGGGTGCGCTTCTTCGAGGAGGACGAGGATGGCGAGACAGTGTGGGAGGCTTTCGCCAAGTTCCGTGAGTCTGATGTGCATCATCAGTACGCGATTGTGTGTCAGACGCCGCCGTACAAAGACAAGGACGTGGATCGCGAGGTGGGCGTGTCAATAGAGCTGATACGTCCCTCCGACGACGAGCGCTCCTATCCGCCGCTGCCCTTCCGCTACAAGCCTCGCGATGCGATTGTGTCCCGGAAACGACGTCGCACCTGCTCCACGGCCACGACCAGCAGCTCTGGCAATTCCAGCTCCAACAATTCCCTGGACCTGCCTAAGACCTTGGCCCTGGCAGCAGCGCCTGTGGGTGGTGGCCAGCCAAATGACTTCTCGCTTCACGCTCAGACCATAAGCCAGGAGTTTGGTCGTGACCTGCATCTGATGGGCTTGGATAAATGCGATTTAGTCAACTCTGAGTCCTTCCGAAAACTCATTGACACCAACTCCGATGAGCTGCTGAAGATCTGCCATGTGTCCATGGACATGGGTGAGCTACAGGCAGATGGCCATGGACGAGCAGAGTCGGTGGGCAGAAACCTAACCAGGGACTATCTGAGTGCGATTTTCAAGATCTTCGATCAGGATCGCCGCACGCCGATGGAGATTTCGAAGCGGCGCGTGGAGGATCTGTTTACGGATCACGCCCTCAAGAACGATAACAATGACACGTTACTCCACGAAGTGATAAGCCACAAAAAGGACAATCTTAAGTTGGCCATCAAGACGATACAGGTGTTGAACTACTTCCAGCTGAAGGAGCTGGCCAACAGTGCCTTGAACGCGGACGGAGATAGTGCCTTGCACGTGGCCTGCCAGCAAGACCGGGCGCACTACATCCGGCCATTGATGGGCCTGGGCTGCAGTCCCAACCAACAGAATCACACCGGGAACACCCCGTTGCATTTAGCTGTTAAGGAGGAGCGCATTAATTGCGTGGAGAGCTTTCTGAACGGAATGCCACCCGTAACGTTGGATCTCTCGCTGAAGAACGACGACGGGCTGACGCCTCTTCACATGGCTATCCGGCAGAATAAGTACGATGTGGCCAAGAAGCTCATTAGCCACGACAGGAGCTCAATAAGTGTGGCCAACACAACGGACGGCAACAATGCCCTGCACATGGCTGTGCTGGAGCAGAGCATTGAGTTGCTGGTGCTCATCCTGGACGCCCAGAATCAGAACCTCACAGACATTCTGCAGGCGCGAAATGCAGCCGGATATACGCCCTTGGAGTTGGCCAGGCACAAGGCCAACGAGCGGGTGGTCCAACTGCTGGAGAAGGTGTATCCGGAGAAGGGAGACCAGACCATGACCTGGATTCCGCGCAAGGTCAAGGAGGAGATCGACTCGTCCTCGGACGAAAGCAGCGAGGCTGGACAGCTAGAGATTAAATCGGAGGATATGGAGATAAAAACGGAGGACGAAGATTCCATGGAGCTGGACCTTAGCAGTCATCATAGGCGAAGTCTAGAAGAAGCTCATGACGACACCCAAATGGAAACGCCGCCGTCGAACAAGCTGCAGCTGCTCCTCCAGAAGAAAAACATTTATGAACAGCTGAGCTCTCTGCTGAACGAACCCTTGGGCCATGGACCGGAACCACAGCTGCCCAAGTGGAAGCACCTGGCTCGGGGACTCAAGCTGATGGCCTTCATGTGGCTAAATGCTGAGGCCTTTCTGGATCACATCTTGGACAATGGCGGCAGTGTGGAGTTTGAAGAATTCGCTCGCACCCTGCAGACAATCGATCCCAAGGCCCACGCCCTGCTGGTTAGGGATTCGTAGTAGCCCCCAGAGATTTCCCAGCAATCGTAACCACTGGAAGCCTTTTGTACCCCGCACTTTTCAACGAGAGAGTGCTTTAATTATGTATTGAAAATGTTGATCAATAAAATACCTTTTAGTTTATAACTACTTATCACTAAACAAAGAAAAAAGAGAGCATTTTTGATAAGGGGTTTACTTGGAAGTAATTCGACTTTAACTTTGATAGTATTTTTAGTCTTGGAAAACTTCTTAGAAACTTAAAATAAAAGAAAGAAAGGGTTTCAGGTGATAAATGCAATCTTCAAAAATGTAAAATTAAATGAAAAAGTATAATTTTTATATTGTATACACATTGTTTATGAATTCTAGCAAGTATCTGCTTAATTTTACAACACATTTTGCAGCTACTTGGTGGATTTTTCAGACAAAGGCTGATATTGGAAATTAAAATTCACTAAGTTATATGTATGTACATATTTACTTACTTTTGTTTGCACTTTAATTATAATTGCGTTCCTAAAATTAAATATGTATATTCTTTAATAGTTTCCCTGAACTATAATAACACAAAGTGAGGTCATTTAAAAAAGCTTTTCTCTGCCGACAGTATAACAAATATACATACATACATATGCATAGACATATGCTGCGATTAAAAAGTACATTCTGAGAAGGGGGAATCACTCGCAACAGTTTTGCAACAAACAAGCCAGTGTGAATCACCCGATATTCCCATACATACATGGGTGTGTGCCGTTCGAGGAGGTGATGTGATCCGGGGAATTACTGCAGCACAACCGCAGTGTGCAGATTGGCAGGACGGGGATGTACCCAGGGGCCTTATCTTTTTGGCGACATTCTTTGGCTTTTATGACCTTGCTGTTGATTCGATTTTTCAAAAAATTTTACTCTGAATAGAGGAAAATGTTTTTATTATTTATGCAATTTAATTTAAATAAATGTCACTATTCAGTATATAATTTCCACTTACAAATATTTATTTACAATTCCTTATTCCAGCAACATGGCACAACTCATCGACGGCAAGAGCATTTCCCAGGAAATACGTAAACAGCTAAGCCAGGAACTGAAGGAGCTCGTGGCCACCGGCTGTCCCGTGCCGCATCTTACTGCTGTAATTGTGGGCGACGATGAGGCCAGCAAGAAGTATGTGGCTAACAAGATGGTCGCCTGTCAAGAGGTGGGCATTTCCAGTGAGACCAAGAGACTGCCCGCCTCCACCACACAGGAGGAGCTTCTCCAGTTGATTGATGACCTAAACAAGGATCCGCTGGTGTCGGGTATCCTTGTGCAGCTGCCAGTGCCGGATCACATCAATGAGCGCACCATCTGCAATGCCGTGCATGTGGAAAAGGATGTGGATGGATTCAATGAACAGAATGTGGGACGCCTGGCTCTCGACATGGACGGCATCATTCCGGCCACACCGCTGGGTGTCAAGCGTCTCCTGGAGCATTTTAACATCGAGACCTTTGGACGCAACGCTGTCGTGGTGGGCCGCTCCAAGAACGTCAGCCTGCCGATGGCCATACTGCTGAGCTCGGATGGGAAATATGCCACCAAGGCAATGGATGCTACGGTGACCATCTGCCACCGTCATACGCCGCCCAAGGAGCTGGCGCGCTACTGTCGCAATGCGGACATTATTGTAGTGGCCGTTGGCAAGGTTGGACTGATCACCAAGGACATGATCAAGCCAGGTGCCTGTGTCATCGATGTGGGCATCAACCGCATTAAGGACGAAAAGACAGGAACATTTAAGCTTGTCGGCGATGTGGACTTTGATGGTGAGAATTTCCTTCTAAAAACAATATAACACACAACCTACAATCCTTTCACCTTTCTGCTTGCAGAAGTGCGCCAGGTTGCCGGCCATATTACTCCGGTTCCCGGCGGTGTTGGACCCATGACGGTGGCCATGCTTTTACACAATACTCTGAAGGCTGCCAGGAAGCAGTTCAGTGACCGCAAGACCTGCTGAGGATTCTCCTCATAAGGCCAACGGAAAGGAGGAGCCAGCCACTCGCCGAGCGAGTAATAGTATTTTTTGTTTTTAACCGCTAACCTAAAGTAGAGAGTAGAGTTACTGACCAACCGCTAACTTGACGATTGTAGCACACACATATAATCTTGCTTATTTTGCTATATAAACAAAGATAATGGAATCTTGACTCGATTGCGTTTGTTTTATGGTCTGGTGAGTGGTGGGAACTGTTAACAAAGTCATCGATAAACCCAAGAGTTAATTGTCTTGTAACTTTTTATTATCACTAAAAATACAAATTACTTGATTTCTATTCCGTTTGTTTTTTTATAGTTTACATTGTACAAGTGTCGAACAACAAACTTTTAAGCTTAATCTCTAACTGCCAGCGGACGGGCCTATTCGCAGCAATGGGTGGCGGGCCGAAAAAAACGAAATAGCGCCCTGGAGAGCGAGTTCAATCGCGGTGTTTAACAACTTGGAAAGACCAGAAGTCACAGATAGGCGACCAGATCTTATTATCCCCAGCTATGTAGGTGTATAAAGTAATTGAGTGCGTCATTTATTACAAATTTACGGATCGTTTAAAAATATGGTTGACGGGAGACTGTTTTTAGGCTTCATTGCAAAAATATCTTCAGCCAAAGTTTAAGAAGGGATTAAAACCGCAAGTCGGGCTTGTGTTTGGCCATGTATCTGAAAATATATTGAAAATTAAGGGGTTACGATATATTTAATTTAACTAAAATTAAAATCATATCATGTTATATCAATGAAATATTAGGCCATTGACCATGGGTCGGAAAAACAATACACAACAAACAAGTAAATGAGTTATATTCAAGGAAAATTAAAGGAAATTCTAGATTTTGATGGTTTATAAGCGACTTATTCAGTGAATATGTTAATTGTAGTAAGAGAGCGAACATATTCACCTTAGTGAGAGAGTGAAAGGGTTTAGGGAGGCAGTAAATTTATTAAAACAACCTCAAAATTTAATAAAATTTCAAACAAATCACATCAAAACATTGTGTAGTAGTTTTATGTAACACTTACTTGTCCAACGTTTCCCAAAACTTGCTAAGCACGGCCCGATCCAGATGCCGTTTGTTTTGGGAGAGTCGCAGCAACGTCACCGACCAGCGCTCCACATTAGAATCCAATTTCAGCTCGCTGAAGCACAAATGAAAGGCGCAAACTGCAAAGGAAAATGATTTAGTAACTCGCAGAAAACAAGGATAAATTTCACTCACTCTTTGAGAATATCTCAACGGGATTGCCATCCCAGGGCCAGCCCTTGAACTGCCACTGTGGTCCCATAACGAACACGGCCACAACACGTTGCCAGTCCTGTTGCGACAATTTGATGGGATTGTCTATCACCCGGTAAGAAACAGTCTGATTGTTACGTTTACGCTGTGGCGAGAGAATTGAAAAAATATATTTTTAATTAAGAACTAAAGGAACAAAAGAGAATAAATAACTATTTATTGTTTTATGTAACAAAAATATAGTAGTACCCCAAGTAACATTAAAATAAATTCCAATTAATTCAAGGTTACACATTCTCTAGAACTAGATCCCTAATTCATTCACCTCTCATTTCTTTACCCCTCAGACAAATGTAATATAAATAATAATAATCAAAAGAAATCTTTGGAAAGCAAAATTAAAGAAACACCCTCAAATAGCTTTAGAGTTTCTACAACTTAAAACAGGATTTACATATAACAAGAATAAAGGTATAGAGCATAAAAAGCTATGTTTTGAGCATGATGAAGCTTTGTTTATTTGATTTATAGCGAGGAGTATTATGTTTATAACGAAAATAAATTAAAACAATACAGGAAAATAACATCGGAAAGCCGAAATTTGTATACCCTTGCAACTTGCCTTAGGATCAGGGCATCGAATCAAAAATCTATCATAACTAAGTCAAAAAAGCATAAAATTCAATTCGGAAATCTGTTCTGAGCTAGTTTTAACTAGGCTAACAAATCTGTAAACTAAATTAAAAATTTTTAAAAATCCAAATTTTGGCCAATTTTTGAGAATTTTGATGATGTAACCCCTTATAAAATTTTAAAATTTTAAATGAAAATTTTGAATTTTTTTTTCTTTGCGACATTCCTAAATAGACTCCCCTGTTGATGCTGATCAAGAATATACATGCTTTATGGGGTCGGAAATGACTCCTTCCCTGCGTTTCAAGCTTCTGAGTGAAATTATAATACACTGCAAGGGTATAAAAACTAAATTCTAAAAATATAATTCCTCCATAAACTTGGTTTTACAAGCAGAATTCCAACTTAACAAAGTGTCTTTGGTTACGCACCTGTAACAGCACTTCGCTGTCGCGTTGGCAGCCCTGCAGCTTCTTCTCGGCGGTGGACAGGAAGCGCAGCTCCTGCAGGATATCCTTCACGTTGAGCATGGTGATGAGGCTTGTATTGGCAGACGGTATAATGATGATGGGTGTGCGCGAAGGTCGCTTCGTGGGTCCATTGGCGGGCAATTGCCTGGCCTGCGCCGTTGGAATCAGCTCCTTGGGCCGTCCAGTGACGGCGGCAGCTGCTCCCGGCGGCATTCCTGGTCCCGGTGCACCCGGCAGACTGGCCTGTGACTTGCGTTGCGCCAGCGAGCCGTCCGTCACGGACTTCAGCGACATGCCGTGGTACGTACCCAACGTGTCGATCTTGAAGCCCTCGGTCTCCTCCTTTTGCCGATTGAAGCGCTCCTGATCGTAACGATTGTACTGCGACAGCTGTGGCTGTGGCTTGGCAATCCTCGCCGGTTCCGGCATCTTGATGGGATTGGGCACCTGCGGGCGATTGCGACCCTCCTCCCGGGCCTTGATGCCCTGCAGCATGGCGAAAATGTTCTTGGCGAAGATCTTACCGGTGCTCTGAAGGATGGAAGTGCGCGTGCGCCACTGCCGCTCCCGGCTAATGATATCCTTTGTGGAGTCCACGTCGTAGTCGAGAATGGCCCGCATATCGGTGCCCATGGTCTCGTCGTTGTCCGTTCGCTTGATGGTCGTACGCTTGTTGGCCAAACGTTTCGCCTTGATGGCTGCGATTTTCTCCACGGACATCGTCTCTGACAGCGACTTGATGTTGTCCATGTTGACGGCAGTCTCCTTTTGATTCACATCCCATCGGGCCGCCAGTTGCTCGCGCACCTTCTGCACCTGCGTCTCCTCGAACCGTGCTTTCTTGGCGGCCACCTCACCGCTTGAGATTTCGCCCTCGGCTGCTCGCTTCACTTGCGTGGGGATCTCGAGCGGTGCGCTCTTGTCGATGCTGGCACAGGTCGGTGTCTCGCCATTGAGGTACGCCAGCAGCTCCTTTCGATCCGGACGATTCACGGCGGGTATATCCTCAGCAGCGCACTGCCGGACATACACAGAGTGCTGGAGCATCACATTCTTGAGCAGGTACAGCAGGCACTCCAGCGTATAGTACTCACGTGGAGCGCCCTTCTTTCCGGAGCTAGGGATTTGCATATTACGTTAAAGAGGTTATAGCTGCCCAGGGAATGGGACGTGGAGGAGACGCTACTCACCCATATTTGAGATAGTTGGTCTTGACACTCTTCGGCCAGGAGAACTCGCCAAAGATAATCTGACTGTCCCGTTCCACGATCTCCTTTTTGTTTATGTTGTACTGCCGCAGCAGACTCAGCGGATCCGCCATCTTTTGGCCGCTCTTCTCGGATGCCTGGGACTGCGCGAATCGGTGGCTGTTGGGGCGGTGCTCGACCCGCCGCTGCTGAGCACTTTACGTCCCCGGATAAGTTAATTAAACACGCTCGATTCTCACAATTTATGGCATATTTTTCGCGTAGTTTTCTTTTGGCAGAGGTTGCGTGGAGTGTTACCACCGGCAAGCGGATTGAAAATACCACAAGGCTGTCGAGAAAATACCGCAAATGCAGTATATATCGTCAGTCAGACTTGAAAGAAACTATCGGTGGAAATCACAGTTTTTTCATATCCCGTGATTTGTCACTATTTGGAAATACAAAGTATAATTGTGTTTTTTTTTTAATGTAATAATGATAAACAATTAATTGTGATAATATAATAAAGGTGTCCATATAAAGCTAATTATACAAAAATGTGTTTACATTTATACACGTTTACAATAGATATAGTTTTAGATCTAAATAATGAAATCCGTTTATTTAAGTAAAATACAGTTCTGTATTTTTTTATTTTTAATTTTAAAGTAAACTTTAGATAAAAGCTATATTAAAAATAATATTTAAACTTTTCTTCACCAATACCTACTACTCTCGCCGGCTTTTGCCAGAACGCGTTAGCACATTTTTGACAAACGCGCTAGTGCATGGTGGGTGCGAATATCGAACTAAAAAAGCCTAGCTAACCGGCAGCCTCTCCATCTTCAAATAAAAAAACAACAATTAAAACAAAGCTTTAAAAAATGCATCGCAATTAACGCCCTTATGATTCTGGGAGCAAGTTCGTCCGCCAGAGCACATGATCGGTTACCGGGACGGTACGCGAGACAACCTGAGTTTCCGTAAGCTGCGGCCACGTGAAGAGAAAAGGAGCAAAATCCAATGCCAAAGAAGTTGTGAATGTATGTCCTTGTTGTTGTTTCTTGTTGTGCCTTTCGGGAAGCGAAAATACGCAATCTTGTGATTACTAATAAGCAATGGGTCAGTCGGCTGGTAAAATAGGTAAGTGGCACAATCCTTATTTGCGTTTAAATAGCATAAATAGCCGGACTAAGCTCCTATGGGTTATTGGTAAGGGTAAGAGGGGCTGAAAAGCGCTAGGAATGACAATTTTATAATCAATTTTAAATGATATGAATGAAAGCTGCAAGCCAAGCTTGTTCCCATAAACGAAAACTATGGGCATTCCAATAGGGTTTGTGACCTTCCCACCAAACGCACACACATGCACATGTTTGCGGAACAGCTGTTTCCCTAGTGATGACACTCGGTCGCTTCATTTCCGTGCTCGAAACGATAGTTTTTCGGTTATTATACAAGTGTTATATTTACCTATGCCGGGATTTTGCAATACTTTTTTTGTTTTTAATTTGTAATATTTATTTGGTTTTAAAATACGCAAGATCATATAATATTATATTATAATGAGTGTAGGTTTAAAATTTTAATTTTGTTACATTGAATTATTTTGCAACTCCTAATTAATTCTACCCCAATCTTTAATAACAGATATCAGAACGCATTTCTTTAATAGTAACTCTTTAATAAATATATCATATATTTTTAGTACACAAATATAAGCAAGGGAATTCTTTGGTATCTCAATATAAAAACCTAATTCAAAGTCCTTTTTCATTACAATAATAGTAAATTATTAATTTTGGAAATGATACTGCCGAATTTCTCACGCTTTATTGATTTTCTTAAATGAAGTTATATCCTAAAAGCAATAATTTTACAATTAATCTGGGCCCCGTAACATATAAGGACATCAAACCTTTAAGCAGCTTAGATGCCCAAAAAGTCAAGAATCTGATTTTTAAGAAATCTTTAAAAAGGGATGAGTAAAGATCCTTTACACATGCACTCAGTTCAGCTAGGAAACATTATTTCTTCTTCAGGCGCGAACTTCAACTCACCTTTACAGGTGCACTGATCAGGGAGGGTTTACCTGCTTACCACATCATCATCATCTGAGTCTCTGAGGGTCTCAAATCGAAGGAATCAGCTTCGATTCCTGCAGCTGTAGACAATAAATTATAGAGTTTATGGCAATGATTTCTCACAAAACGGGCGCAGAAAAAGGACGAAGGAGGTACAAAGGCGTAGGGGAGGATAAGAAAACCCCAATAGGAGTTCGGTCAGGTCAGGTAAGGAGATAGCCAAACCGTAACCTTCTTCTGACCCTGAGACAAAGACACATGCTGTGGGCCGAAAACCCGCCAGGACCCTCGCTCGCTCTCTATGACTTGCCAAATGTCCTGACTGTATCTGGTTATCCAGACGGGGGAGTTTTCCGCTTTTCCATTTTACAGGCGGGAAAAAACTGCAATGTGAAAACTGTGAAAGCCGAAACCCCCAGAAAAAGGCAAACATTTGGCCAGCAGGACCAAGGATTCTCTCTATCTAACGGATCGCAGCTTCCCTTAGCGCATGTGTTGCATTTGGCGGTTATTCCTCCTCGTCGATGTTGATATTTGATTAGCGTACGCACACGAGGATGCGGAAATGGGAAGTGAATATGGACGAGGATGAGAATGTGGAAGTTGCCAAATGCATCCCCGAATCCCAAGCGAGTTTGCTTTTGTTAGATCTTGATCTCGGCGCTGCAGAGAAACCAACTGCTGTCGCAGGTATCCCTAAAGTGACGGAGTATACCTACAGAGCATGCCTTTAGAATAAGTCAGAGTTCTTGGGAAGACACCGTCTAAACTGTGGGGTCACCCTGATCATTATTTTTGCTAAATGTTACATGCATTTATTTAAAATTATTGGTCTTTCTTATGTAAAAATACAGTGAAAAGATTAAACATATTTCTCTCAATCATAGCTCTAGCAATGCATTAATTTATAACTTATGATATGGCTGAATCGGTTCCTTCAGCTTGTTTCCCTTATGGCCTTCGATCCCTTGAGACAGAGAATACATACAAATGGGCATGCCATCGCCTTCAATTTTCAGTTTCTCAAGTGCTTGCGCAATTCGATTTTGGGTTCTTTTTTCCTCGGGTTCTCCTTTGTGTCCGTGCTGGATTAGTTCGGGTTTATACATACATATGTATACGAAACTCCACAACTGCTCCTTGTCGAGCTGAGCTCCTTTCTTCCCTGCTCCTTGCCTGTCTGAGTCCTTTCCCTTTTATTTTATTTTCCTTTCGAGTTACTCCCCGTTTGCATATGTCGTTTTCTAATTAAACATTGGCATTTGCTACAGTTTTTACTTAATTATGTGTATATTGATCGGCTATCGGCGATCAATGTGGAGAGCCGTAGAATTCTCAGCTGTCTTCCTTCCGACAGCTGCCAATTTCGTATATCGTTTCGGTTATTTACTTACCGCGTCTTTTTTCATTCACATAATTTATTTTTATCATCATTATTCTATCTATTTGGTTATACTTATCTTTGGCCCACTTTGGTGCTGGTTAACCTATGGAAATTATTTGTGGTATTTCATTTAATTTCGATTTCTTTCAATTTAATTTCCAACAATTTAATTATAGCTGCAAATTTATATTTATTTGCTGTGTATCTATGAGCTAGTCATAAGTTTATCGGACCTGAAGGTGTCCCAAGGTTAAGGTACATAGCTCCCAGACATTTGCTTACAGCTCGATTTATAAAAAAAGGGTTTGAAGTTGTGATAAGGAAATTTGTATGTATGGAAATTCAATCAAAGCTACAATTTGTGTAACTAGTTTTTTTTTATCTTATAAATTTTATTAGGCCATATAAACGGGGTGTGATTTCTTATCAATAATAAGGTGGAAATTTGGGAAATCAGAAATGCCTTAAGACTCGCAGTACTTTGATTTTATTTGGTGCGAGGTTTGTTATTGATCACCTTTCTCATAAAGATAAATTAGAAATTCCTTTAGCTGATATGTGAGGCTACAGTATTCTTTCCCTAATGCAAATATAGGGACAATAAATAAATGTTTACTCTTCAATGACTGATGAATATATAGTACATTTTATGAGGTTTTGCACTATAAATTTAGGCAGAAACTTTCATTGATGACCGTTTACGGATAGATTTACAATACGTTCATAAAATGTGTATTGCTTAAATCAACCAGAGATATAAAATTGTGACTTTTTACATGGACAAGAAGACCTCATTTTAAACCCTATTTTTCTTCCTTAACCCTCTATTCACTTGCCGTGCAAAATGATCGTTTGGCATTTTCATTAAACGCCTGCCTAGGTCAATTCTCCATAGACGACGATTTCGTATAGCAGCAGGGATCTTTAGGTTAAGAAACTGTCTGAAAGGTAAATCGCTGTGACATCTTTGGGACAATGGTCGAAACACAACAATTGGGTATTGTACAGTACGTAAATGCGGGTCTCAGTAGAAACCAACGATCCCCGAAGACGAAGCCAAAATATATGTGTGTATTCTTAAGCCAGATGTTCGTGGGAGACCGAAACGTAGGGAGATAAAATTGCACATAATGCCATTGGGACCTGGAACTTGGGGGGCACATGTGCCAAATTCTAAATTTAACCATAAAAAAAACTTTAAAGGGAGCAAACAAACAGCCTGCAGATACACGAGGAGTTTGTTCTCCCCCATCGAGGCGACAAATGCAAATGGCAGCAGCTGTCTTCAGGGCAAATATGAATATATATAAAAATAAATAATCGTAAATGGAGTTTCGAACCGATCCAAAGAAGTAGAGCAGCCTTATCAGCCAAGGCAACTGGCGCACGTCTTCCTTTTCTTTGCTTTTTGTTTCTCCTTTTTTATTTTTTAGCCTGGCACGTGGTTGACTGGCTTCCTCTGCTGCCTCCTCCAAATCGAAAAAAAAATCCCTTTATGTATCTGTCTCTTTTGCTATGAATTTACACCTGGAATTGGCAAACAAACAAACAATTCAAGATCGGTGGACAAGGGGAAACGAGGGGACAGCAAACCCTTTCTGCAGGACCTTTTCAGGTCCAACTGCAACCGCAGATGGGACACCTTTCGAACAGTGAATACACGATAAGGAGAATATTATCATGTTTAGTTATTTTTAAAATTATTTATTTTTATATTTAAGAGGGCAAAACCCTAATATATAAACTAAAGATACTTCTAATCAAAGGATACAAAAATATCCATTAAAAAAATATATTAAATCTGTAAATATAAAGAACCAACTGTACGTTCTGAATCGCGTTTTTTAACGAATATTCACTGTATTCCTTGACAGTTTTGGGGTAGTTCGCTGGTTTTTCGCTCGTTTCGCTGCTCAGTGTTTGCCAGCTCCGGTTCCTGTTCCTGTTCCTGTTCCTGAGCCAAAACAACGACCTTTTTGCATTTTCGCATTCGCAAAATGTGAGTTGTGTGCGAGGGAGGGGAGTATGAAGGGAAAGAAAGGGAACTCGGGTAACAGGAGCAGCAGATGTATTTCCAGGACGCACGCCTGCTGCCAGGATGCTGAATATGCATTTCCACTTTAATATCAAAATTTAAATGCTCTCTCGGGTCTCCGTCTCAGTCTCCTGATCGCTGATCCCTTCCGATCTTGAGAGTTGCATCTGCCGTCTGCAGGACGAAGCTGGGGCACTCGCAGCAATTATCATCCTGCATAAAGGATATAAAGGATGATCATGACGCCAGACGGCAGTTGTTGATGACCGCAAAAGCCCAGAGCTTAACAAATGAGACCACAATGGCATGTGTCCCCCATCATAGACAACTCTGCCCCGACTCCTTGGATCTATAATGGCTCCAGGGGAATCTTAAAATTTATTAAGAAACTATCTGCGCACCTTTATCTCAAAAAGAACTGCAGATTAGGGATCTATAATATAACTTGTTCTGCATTAAGGATAATTTGCATGATCCTTTTGCTAAGATAAATTTAGGAAAACTATAAAACTAGAATCCGGTTTAGGGATATTTATACAAATATAGCTTAAGATACGATGCAGAAAATTAAAAACTATAGTTTGGTTTAGGGGGCGTTTTTACAATATCTGACTGAATTCAAACATAATATCTAAATTTTTTCACATGAATATATCTTTAGTTACTCGGTAAAAAAAACTGTAAGTTCTAACTTTCGACAGACACCTCTTCCTCGTTCTCTGTGTATTTCTCAACTCAAATTTTTTGGCCAGTACTAAAGTTCACGATCAAAGAAATTAAAGCAATTTACATAGTTTTCCCCAGTTATATGAGCGAACCTTGTAACCTTTTCCCAAAAAAGAGGCGAAAGAATTGCTTTGAACCTGGCTGAACTACACACACAGAACAACAACAGTTAGCTGAGATCAGAGCCAAAAAAGCAAAATGCAGGCCTAGAACGGCAACAAAAACAACAGGAGAAGCAACAGCAGGAGGAGAATGAGTGGAGGAATCGCTGATCAAGGTGCACAACAGGCATACAGGGAAACTATAAGGGAGGCTCAAACACACAAATGCACGCGAATGGCAGGCCAAAGCGAAACCATAGTAAATAAGAAACAGCTGCCAGAGAGAAAAGGAAGCAACAACAATTTTCTTCGGTTTGTTGCTTTTGCCTACCTCTTCGCTCTCAATTTCGCTCTCTCCCTCTCTGTGTGCTGACCAGTGATGTCATTTTATTCAGAGAAAAAAAGCTGGATAAAAAAAAGACAGCTGAAAAAACGGAATTCGATGGGGGAAAAAGCAAAATATTTAGTTAAATAATTTCGAATTGAAATATAAATCTTAATATGGACCTCATACTTAAATAGCGTTTAATGTTTCAACGCCAACCAAATTTAGATGTGGACTTCAAAGGGAGTTATTCGATACAAGTAAAAAGCGATACTGTTCCGATATAAATTAAAAACACAAAACAAAAATGTAGTCAAATTAAAATTAAAAGAAGTCTGCTTTAATTTTTAATATTTCCCGCAATCACTCTCTTAAAAAAAGCTAAATTTGACGGGAAAAAGGCGAGAGTGACATCTCTGACGCCGAGCGAGGCTATATAAGGCAGCGACCACAGCTCATTTCTCTCAAATTCAAAAAAATTCGAAATACGAAGCGAAGCGGTCGCTCGGGAGTTGTTCGTCGGTCTGTGTTCGTTTTGTTCCGTTTATTTCGTTTGTTCCGTCGCGCAAACAAACAAAAAGCAACCGAAATTCAAAATGTTTTAACCGAAAAACACTGGATTCCAAGAACTCGTAGCGCTAAAATTTAATGCCAAATAAAACGCAAGTAGCTTGTGGATTTTTGATTGCATTTCGCGCGTGTGATTAGTTTAGTTTTGCTCGATTTCCAAGGAAATTAAAGTTTAAATTGCAATGGGTCTATCGGATATACCAGCCAACTACATGCAGGGCAGCCACCCGCACCTCAACCTCAACATGCATGCCCAGCAGCAGCACCTGAATCCTCACCTGAGCCAGCACCAGCACAACCAACACCACCAGCAGCAGCACCTTCGCAATCTTCAGATCCACAATGCCAACATGACGCCCATCAACGCCACACAAACGCCCGCCCAGCAGGCGGCCCAGGTCCTGGCGATGGAGAGCAACGAGCTCCTCATGTCCACCAAGGATAAGATGTCCAGCAAGAAGAAGATGCACCTCCTCAAGAAGATCAAGAAGCGTTTCGGACTGGGTTAGTAATCGCCATTAGCTAGTATTAATGGGCAATTAATGGGACTTTAAAGTTGATTTGAGTTATGAGTTCTAAGAAATACATAAAAAGCTCTTCTGAGAAACTTTTGAAACAATGGAAATTTCAGAAGAAATTAATAATCAAAAAAAACAAATTCCTCGACTTGAAAGTACAATTTTAGAAGCAAAATAATAGCTTAGCCCTTCGTGTAGTTACAGTTGCTGTGTAATATTTTTCCCATTTTATCTAAAAAAAATGTAATTACGGCGTGCGAAAAACTTGGATAATACATTATTCATCGATCTGGGTCTCTGGGGGCGCTGTGCTTTTATCTCCAGCGATATTCCCACATAATATTAGCATGTGGCCGACCTATCGCTCATTCATTCAGTCGTTCATTCAGTTAATTAATGCGGCAAAGATAAATAAGCGCAAGACATAGCCAGCCGGCCGCAAACATTTATGCATACATTAGCATTTTGCGTCCCAAGAACAATAAGTAAAATAACAAAAACAAATAGTGAAGAGATAAAAAGCTGAAACGGAATAGTTTGCGAATGTATAAAACCAAAAGCTAATGATTAAACGCTTGGAAAGAGCACGCACAACAAAATATGACTTTTTTTTTTGCTAAGTTAATGGAGGGAAAAGTTCTTTCAAGGCTTCTGCTGAATTTAACCTCGACCGGAAATGTCAGTTCTTGAAACTGCATTTTTCAAATCGCATCGAAATACAGAAAAAACCCACTGCGAAACGAAAAACTCACACTCCCAAAAGTAACCACAAATTGATTGGGATCGGGATCGAGATCGGAAAGCAGGGAGATGAGGAAAATACCATCAAAAGCAATTTTCCCAAGGAGCGATTATGTTTATCATAACGATTATCTCAACGGGCATTGTTTTTGTTTTCGTTGCAAGCAGCTGAGCCGCAAAAAAAAAAAAAAAACAAAAACTGCCTTCTCACATTCCCTAAACTTGGCTCAATTGCATTCTCGGGCCTCTCTTTTGGACCTGAAAATGGGGAGCAAAGCAACTGGCAAAGCCAATGACGCATAGCCTAAGCGTCTTCTACTTCTTTTTGTTTTTACTGTCTCTTGCCGACAGTTGTGTCCAACATACTATATCAGTTTAAATTTAAATATTTGAGCCAGACTTGAAAATCAGCAGTATTATTTTGCTCCTTGATCAAGACTATTTTTCTGGTATTTGAATTATTCTGGTATTTCAAGAGCGTTATTTTCCTGGTACTATTCTGCCGGCCGTTACTGTTCCTGCATATGCCTCATTCAGCATTTGTTGTGGTTGTTATTTTTGTAGTACTGGGAATTGTACGCGAAGCGCCGTTGCCGCCATCGGCAAAGGCAAAAGCAAAAACAAAACGCAAAAAGAAAAAAATAGGGGGAGAGAAACGATCAACACGGCCCAAGGCGGCGATGGGGCAGAAGCACCAGGAGGAGTGAGGGAGAAGCAGAAGTTGAAGGAGGCGATGAGGGGCTAGAGGAAGAGGTGTGGCTTTGAAGTTTCAGTTTTTAAGCTTGGGATGTGTTTGCGTTTTATGCTTTATGCGGCGGCTTCCAATCCAATCCGTTTGAGTTTGAACGTGCGTTGGCTATCGGTAATCAATGAAATTACTTTGTGGCATCAGCTGCTTTTGCCTTTTTTTTTACCTGCATTTTTAGCTTTTCTATTACAATTCATAGTTGTTTGTTTGCTGTTGTGGTTTTTGTTGTTGCCGAGTGTTGGCATGCCACGTTTGCTTTGGCTAAAAAGTTTATCTGCTCTTGGCTTTTACTTAGCTTCTCACGGTTTACTTTTCGAAATTAGTGTGTGTGTGCGTGTGTTTGGAATCGAAGAGCAGGAGCTGCCAACTTGGCTTGAGCCGTTGATTTTGTTTGGTACCTACTCCTTATTTTTTGTTGTATTTGGCGTCTCTGTCACATGACCTTCGATTGTGTTGGCCAAAAAGCAAATAACAATCGTAAATATAATGATACAACACACTACAATTCAACATACACAACCCCTCTGGGGGTTTGATGGTATAAATTTTATAATTTTTTTGCATTTAACTTATTTTGATAAATTGCGGAATAAAATGTTTTTAATGCTATTATTTTGACCACAGCTGTACGTTATATATGCACATCTGTTGCGATAACTCTCCTTTTTCCTTTCGTATTTCCTCTGTGCCCCTTGGGTACTTTTTCTATATTTTTTCTCCCCCCATATGAGGTCATCTGTGTGACACATCCATCTTTTGGTCACTTTGCAAAACACTTTAAAATGTGTTTATAATTTGTTGTAAAAGGCTGATACCAGGCAATGCCGTTCCCAATTGATAATTTCGCCCAGGTGATAACGGTCAGTGCAAAAATAGTTATCTTTGCAAGTGTGGTTGAGACTTTGATTGGGTTTTGACTATAAATAAAAGCTGCTAGTCGGTGTTGGGGATGTACAGAGATCTAAGGTGGTATTGGGTTTTTATTTGAAAAGTTATCTTACTTGTGACCCACTTAGACCCTTTTCCATCTTTTGTTTATCAGTTAATGAACCAAGTTGGCAGCTTGTACTAGGGTACAGTAGATATCAGCTAGAAAAATCGATTTACCTTTTATTAATTTAATGAAATAAGACATTGTTTCATTAAAGTCAGAAAGCCCGAGAAGGTATCTCTAAAAGATATTTACTTTTTGATTTGTTAGCTTTTATCTACAAAAGTCTTAACTTATATCTACTGTATGTCCGTAAATATTCCTCAAGGCCCAAATGTAGTACAGAATTGTTAACATTTTGTCTGGGCCGAGCGATAACAGCCCAAAATAGATAAACTAGATAAAAACGGTTCGCCGCATGGTGTTGCAACTGGCGCAAGACAAAAGGCGCAATCCAGGTAGCAACAGGTAAATATACCATACCAAATACCATATAGCATATAGCACATAGCTTACCTGGCTATGAGCCCGAAGGCAGCTGCAATTAACTCACGCAAAGCGAGATGGAAAGATATCGAAAGGCATCTCTTGGGTCAATTTTGTGCGCTTGGTTTGAGGGCGTGTGTTTCTTTTCCGATCTTAGACGGGTTATAAGGCGGGCTTTGCTTCGTTGCCATGCATAAATCACCGCTGGTCTCTTACCTCAGCCGAACACCTACGGGTCTTTAATCTACGTCTATGTCCACCACCAGCTGCTCGCTTGGCCATCCATCCATCGCTGGAAACTTGGCCAGATCGGGTTTTGTCGAATTTTTCGGATTTTGTGAGCTTTTGAACAGAACTTTAATGTAATTAATATGTACACCTATTTTTGGAAGGAACTAGAACTAGATTTTTGGCTCAGTTTTGCAGCTGTTCGGGTATTTTATATGCTAAACTTGGGGACATTTGCATGGTTTAGCTATAACCCTAAATAAGAATGGGAATCGATGATTATAATGCATACGGTGGCATCTTGAAGCGATCGAACTCTTGAAGTGCTCGTCAGCCATTGTAATGGCTGTGTTATAATGTAATAATCATGTTTTAATGATGTGTTTCTATCAAAAGACGACTCTTGAAGTCCATTCCACTCAGCTCCACTCAGACATATTGTTGCTGCCCTCGCGCTGTTTCCCCCTCAACGCTCGAGTGATTTAATTACACAAAAGAGTTTGAGTCGAGTCTTTGGGAAGGGAGGGGTGCCTTGTGCGCAGTCAAGTGCGAGGAAATGCAAGTACTATGGGAGTAACTATCAACTTTATATATAGTGTATACTGTATAGTACTCTTATATACATTTATGTGGACCTCTCCACTGGCCCTTTCCAGTAATTGCAACGCTTCGATAAACAGCAAGTCTACAAAGCGCACAAAACACAGCGGAAGAAAGCCGGTCTTATCTTATATGACTCTTTTGTACAGACTGTTCAGTAAAACAGCAAAACATTATAAAAACATGCGGAAAAGCCTCCTTATTAATTATTAATTTCGAAGCTTTGAAAACATTTTAAAGTTTCCTGGTTGATAGTTTCATAATATTTCTAAACCGAAGCCATTTTTGAAGAATTTACCCTTTAATTCTATAAAAGAAGTCCATTTTTAAAAATAAGATCCTTTCTGTGATGTGCAAATAATTATTAAGCTTTAAAAATATTGAAAGTAGTGTTCTTATAACATTTACAAATCAAGTACTTAAACAAGTTGAAATGTTTACATATAATTCTTCATATTTTCCCTATTCATAGTACCAAAAATCCTCCACACTTTGGCTACACAATGTTGTTGATTGTATGGTTATATGGCTCCTATATGCTTCCTTATAGCGTTGCGGGTATATATTTAGAGTGGTTTAATGTCTATTCCGGAGCTGAACAAGTTCGGTTCTTCTTGGCTGGGGCCTCTTGCACGGTTCGGCGCCCAACCATGGATATATGTGGTGTCTATATATGTTTATATATATATATCATGTGCATCGATAGAGAGGTGCTCCCATTCCACGCTCCGTTGTTTTGTGCGCTTGTAAAAATAAACATGTAAATTTGATTTGGCCACCCACCCTTCCTCTCTCCCTCTCTCTCTCTGGCTTTTTTCCGCCTCCCTATCTGTTTTTCTATATCGCTCCCTGTCGTTGGCTAATTATATTATTTATAGGGAGCCTGCTCCCCATCCGGGTGTTTTCAACTAATTTGTATATGTGTGGATAGACTGAAAATTGATGTCGAACCGCGAGAAGAGTCACTGGGAGTCATTGAACCCTTTTTTTGTACAAGGTGTGATGAATATTTTATATAGAACGTATGTACCTATGTCTTGGGGGTTGTTTTTAGCTATTTAAAGAAAATGCAAGTGCAGCCCTAAGGAATTTCCTAATCACTGTTGTGTGATTAATTTATGACTGTCACAAACAATGTCTACCTTATGGATTTTCCCCAATGAGTTCTGAATAATGGCTAAGCATTTATAATCTAAAAATGGGAATTTTTCTGATATCATTTTAGTAATTACTCATGTTTACCTTATCAAGT